CAGAATTCCTCAGCAGCACTTGGCACTTTAAGACTTGTGGACTTCAACTCCCAGAATTCCTCAGCCAGCCCCTCAACCTTGGCTACTTTAAGACTTCAACTCCCAGAATTCCTCAGCCAGGAAGTTGTGGACTTCAACTCCCAGAATTCCTCAGTCAGCCCCTCAACCTTGGCTACTTTAAGACTTGTGGACTTCAACTCCCAGAATTCCTCAGCCAGCCCTGAGGGCTGGCTGAGGAATTCTGGGAGTTGAAGTCCACAAGTCTTGAAGTGGCCAAGGTTGAAGACCCTCGTTCACGACATCTTTTCTCTCTTTTTAAGAGTTATTTCAATCCAGCAGATAAAAAGTGTGGGCATACCAGTCATCCTTCCCCACCAAGGAGCCTGGGACTACATCTCCCAGAATCCCCGGCTTGGAGAGGCGAGCCTCTGCGGTAGAATGGCTCTGGAGAATGAGTCCTTGACTTATGACCCAAATTTCTGTTGTTAAGCGAGACAGCTGTTAAGTGAGTCTTGCTCCTTTTTACGACCTTTCTTCCCACGGTTGTTAAGTGAATCACTGCAGTTGTAAAGTGACTCAAGTAGTTGTTAAGTGAATCCAGCTTCCCCCATTGACTTTGTTTGTCAAAAGGTCGCAAAAGGGATCCCACCTGACCCCTCAGGACGTTGTGACCGTCAAAAATATGAATCCGTTGCCAAGCATTTGAATGCTGCAATGGTTGTAAGTGTGAAAACGGTCATAAATTACTTTTTTCAGTGCCGTAGTAACTCTGAACGGTCACTAAGCGAGTGTTGTAAATCAAGAAGTAGCTGTAGGGGCATCTGATTTGCCCAAATCAATTCCCAGAGATGCTTCTCAGTTTGTCAGGGAGAAGCACAGGCTCCACAACTCAACACAGGCTTCACAACCAGCACAGGCCTCACAACTCGGCACAGGTGTCACAATTCTGCACTGGCTTCACAACTCTGCACAGGCTTCACAACTCAATACAGGCCTCACAACTCAGCACAGGCTCCACAACTCTACAGGCCTGACAACTCGGCACAGGCTTCACAATTCAACACAGGCTTCACAACTCGGCACAGGCTTCACAACTCAATACAGGCTTCACAACTTGGCACAGGTTTCATAACTCGGCACAGGCTTCTCAGCTCAACACAGGCTTCACAACTCAGCACAGGCTTCACAACTCGCTGCTGCCAAACCATGGCTGTTTATTTATTTAGCCACAAACACAGTCATCCTTTGTGTGACACATAGTGAGGCCTGGCGCCCGGCAGGGCCGGATCCGTGGGCCGGGAGGAAGCGGGCAAGATAATGAAACCAGGGCGTGTTTTGCCTTTCGGCACCCCTTCACTTTCACCAGCCCTTAGGAGGAATTCTGAGCGTGGAGTCACCTGGTGGCATCCTTTTCCGACCCACAACTTGGATCCCCAAACCTAGAAGATATTCATAGGGGGGGAGGGGGGACTTGGATTTGTGTGGGACAATCTGCAAAAAGTCAAAAGTGTTTTTGTCCCTGGGGAAAGCCGGACAATTTATTCAACTTGAAAACGGAGTTGAACAAACGTAAAGAAGAAGCAGGAATGTAACTTCCACTCTCTGGTATCACAACAAGAGCATCAAAGTATTCCAATATCTCAGGGGCTGCCCCAAAGAAGAGGGAGTCAAGCTATTCTCCAAAGCGCCTGAAGGCAGGACAAGAAGCAACGGATGGAAACTCATCAAGGAGAGAAACAACCTGGAATTAAGGAGAAACTTCCTAAACTTCCTAACAGTGAGGACAATTAACCAGTGGAACAGCTTGCCACCAGAAGCTGTGGGTGCTCTCACTGGAGGTTTTCAAGAAGAGAATAGACAGTCATCTGAAATGGTATAGGTTCTCCTATTTGAGCGGTGGGCTGGACTAGAAGACCTCCAAGGTCCCTTCCAGCTCTATTCTATTCTAAAGCTCTGAGATGGCTAAATGCAAACTTTTTGCCTCTGAGCTGAGCTTTTTTCTTTTCTCGGCCATGATTGTGTTGAAGTCCACATGCCTTAAAAATGTCAAGTTTGGGAAACACTGCCTTAAATAGGAGCCAGCCGTGTGCTGCAGCTGCCAAAAAAGCAGAATAGAATAGAATAGAATAGGATGGGATGGGATGGGATGGGATGGGATAGAACAGAACAGAATAGAACAGAACAGAATAGAACATAATTATGGGATAGAATAGAATAGAATAGAATAGAATGGAATGGAATGGAGTGGAATGGAATGGAGTGGAGTAGAACAGAACAGAGTAGAATAGAATAGAGCTGGAAGGGACCTTGGAGGTCTTCTAGTCCAACCCCCTGCTCCAGCAGGAAACCTTACACCATTGCAGACAACTGGCTGTCCAGTCTCTTCTTAAAAACTTCCAGTGTTGGGGCATTTGCAACTTCCGGAGGCAGGTTGTTCCACTGGTTAATTGTTCTAACTGCCAGGAAGTTTCTCCTTAGTTCTAGGTTGCTTCTCTCCTTGATGAGTTTCCATCCGTTGCTTCTTCTCCTGCCTTCAGGTGCTTTGGAGAATAGCTTGACTCCCTCTTCTTTGGGGCAGCCCTGAGATACTGGAAGACTGCTATCCTGTCCCCCCTTGTCCTTCTCTTCGTTAAACTAGACATACCCAATTCCAGCAACCGTTCCTTATATGCTTTAGCCTCCAGTCCCCTAATCCTCTTCTCTGTACTCTTTCTAGAGTCTCAACATCTTTTTTAACAGCGTCCCAGAGGAATAGAAATTGGCAAGACGACAGATATGTCTGTAACAATCCATTCATTTCTTGCAACTGCTTCCGGTCATCTTGTGTCCACCTTCCTTTGGAAGCAGAGAGGTGATGATGACAGCTTCACAGTAATTGTGATCCCAGAACAATGGTCCCAGAATGTTAGCTTAAGGGCCCAGCAGGTTTATGAGGGGTCCTTGGGGCTCTCTGAGCTTGGTGCTTTTCTTGCAGAGATTGTATGACCCAACTAGGTTACATCACCAGTGCTAGAAGGGAGGGGGGTTTGTGGAAGGGGGAAGGATGAGGAGGAGAAGGAAGAGGAGGAGGAGGAGGAGGAGGAGGAGAAGGAGTATGGGGTCCTTGGTGCTCTCTGAGCTGGGTGGTTTTCTTGCAGAGTTTTATGACCCAACTAGGTTACATCATCAGTGCTAGAAGGGAGTGGGGTTTGTGGAGGGGGGGAAAGGAGGAGGAGGAGGAGGAGGAGGAGGAGGAGGAGGAGTATGGGGTCCTTGGTGCTCTCTGAACTGGGTGGTTTTCTTGCAGAGATTTTATGACCCAACTAGGTTACATCATCAGTGCTAGAAGGGAGTGGGGTTTGTGGAGGGGGGGAAAGGAGGAGGAGGAGGAGGAGGAGGAGGAGGAGGAGCTGGACTAGAAGATCTCCAGGTCCCCTCCAACTCTCTTATTCTGAAACATATTAAGGACAGATCCCACCGAGAACTAAGGAGAAATTTCCTGACAGTGAGAACAGTTAACCCGTGGAACCACTTGCTTCTAGAAGTTGTGGGTGCTCCATCACTGGAAGTTTTTAAGAAGAGACTGGACTATCATTTGTCTGGAATTGTACAGGATCTCGTGCTTGAGCGCGGGGGGCTGGACTAGAAGACCTTCACAGTCCCTTCCAATAGTTATTCTATTAGACTCAGAAGTCCCTGCTTATTCGATTGACTACATATTATTTACAGCTCCTCAAGGCCATTTTAGATCTCCCTGTATCCTGAGGAAAGCAAGTTAAAAACCCAAATTATTGGGGTGTCTTCCCCCACGGCCTTCTCTTTCGCTCCAGATGAAAGAGGCAGCTGAAGTTTGAGCTACAGCATCAGCGCTGCACCACAAGGACCCCAGGGCTCAGAGTGCCCCCTCCCCAGAAACACACCTGAAGGAAATAAAAGTTATTCTTTTAATAATTGTAGAAATGTAATGCCATTATATGAAACTGTCTCTTTAGTACAAATGTAACACTGTAACACAAACGTAACAATGCAATGCCAATATATGACCGAATGTTTACTATTTCCTGCCTAAAAAAATCCTCCGGACACAGGAACTTACACTTTGAGTAGAAATCCTACTATGGAAGAGGGGGATTTTGACCCAAGGTGAGAATTACAAATAAACAAGATAACAGCAGATGGACGGAAGAGGTCAGGTTAACAAAGTACAACTTCGGAGTACATCTATAAAGATGAAAGAGCTGCTTAGATGTGACATGCATTGTAGGGGTATAAAATGCAGATCTTGAAACCATCCCAGTGTGCTAATGGAAGGGAAGGATCCATGGGGTCGCGTTTGCAAACGCTCCTCTATTCTATTCTTTCTGTTTTCTCTTTTATTCTGTTTCTGTTATTCTCCAATAAACCTTTGTTTTGTTAACCAGATTTGTCTTCGTATTGTGAGTATCAAAATTTGGGTTTTTTACATCTCACACACCCCTCTGCCTCCCTCTGCCTCTCAGCCACTGTCTGATGGTCAAGGAAACCCCAGATGTAATTCAACAGGCAGCACCATGCAGATGACTTAAACCAGGGGTCTTCCAGCTTGGCCCTTTGATGACTTGGGGACTTCAACGCCCAGAATTCCTCAGCCAGGCACACATTCTGGGAGTGGAAGTCCACAAGTCATCAAAGGGCCAAGTTGGAAGACCGCTGACCTAAAGCCAAGAGCTGAAGGAGGCCACAGAAGGGAGAGGAGGAGAAGGAATCCCACCCTTTGGACCTTGAATGGTGGAATCCGCCCTGGTAGGCCAGGAGGAAATCTTCTGGAGAAGAATGGCAGGAAGTGAGAGAGACCCAGGTCTTCTCCTTCTCCTTCTGAGGAAGACCGGGCCAGATGGGTGGAAACTGCCCTTCCTGGTCCTGGGAATTCCAGAATGTGGCATCCCAACAGCTCCAGCTGAGGAGGCTTCCCTGGCTTGGCCCCGTCCATCCTTTGGGTTGGTTCTCCTGCTTGCAACCAGCCCCGAAGCCCAGACACTCACCATCGCCTTCCACTTTCTCGGGGCTTCGGCTCCAGACGATCTGACGGCTCTTCAGCCGGACTTGGAAGCTCCTGCGTTCCGGCCGCTGTGACTTCTTCTGGTAGAATAAGGTCAAGACGGTGCCCACCTCCAAGCAGCTGAGGACCTGGGCCAGGTCTGCCCCGTTGGCGGCCTCCATCCGGGAGGGGTCTTCCGGGAAGCCATTGGTGGTGCTGTTCAGCCTGGAGAGGGACATCTTTCAGCACATGGCCCGGCGGGGTGGTGGGGTCCTGGCGCCGGGGGGGGGGTCTCCTCCGAGGTGGCTTCAGAGGGTGAGGGTGGTGCCCTTCAGTGCCCTGGAGGAGAATTTTGGAAGGTTGGTCATCTTACATATGAAAGGGAGAAAGAGAGAGAAAGAGAGAGAGAAAGAGGGAGGGAGAGACGAGATAGGGAAGGAAGGGGGGAGGGAGGAAGGAAGGAAGGAGGGAGAGAGGGAGGGAGACACAAAGAGGGGGAGGATAGGAAGACTCGGCAGGAGGGATGAGATAGAAAAAGAGGAAAGGAAAAGGAGGGAAGAGAGAGAGAGAAGAAAGGAAGAGAGGGAGGGAGGGAGGAAAAGAGAGAGAAAGAGAAGGAGGAGAAAAAGGGAAGGCAGGAAGGTGTGGTAAGGAAGGAAGAGAAGGAGGGAAGAGAGAGAGAAAAGGAAAGATGCAAGGAGAGGAACCAGGAGAAAGAGAAAGAGAAGGGAGGAAGGCAAGGAAAGTGGAGAGAGAGAGAGAGAGAAAAAGAGAAGGAAAGGAGAAGAAAAAGAAAGGTAGGAAAGGAAGGTACGGTAAGGAAGGAGGAGAGAAAAAGAGACAGGGAAAGGAGGAAGGAAAGGAAGCAGGAGAGAGAGAAGGAAGAAGGAAAGAAAGAAAGAAAGAAAGAAAGAAAAGGAAGGGAGAGAAAGGGAAGGAAGGAAAGGAAGGAGGAGAGAGAGAGAGAGAGAGAAGAAAGGAATGGAGGGAGGGAGGGAGGGAGGAAAAGAGATAGAAAGAGAAGGAAGAGAAAAAGGGAAGGCAGGAAGGTGTGGTAAGGAAGGAAGAGAAGGAGGGAAGAGAGAGAGAAAAGAAAGGATGGAAGGAAAGGAACCAGAAGAAAGAGAAAGAGAAGGGAGGAAGGCAAGGAAAGTGGAGAGAGAGAGGAGAAAAAAAAGAGAAGGAAAGGAGAAGAAAAAGAAAGGTAGGAAAGGAAGGTACGGTAAGGAAGGAGGAGAGAAAAAGAGACAGGGAAAGGAGGAAGGAAAGGAAGCAGGAGAGAGAGAAGGAAGGAAGGAAAGAAAGAAAGAAAGAAAGAAGAGAAAGGGAGAGAAAGGAAAGGAAGGAAAGGAAGGAGGAGAGAGAGAGAAAGAAGGAAAGAAAGAAAAGAAAGAAAAGGGAGAGAAAGGGAGAGAAAGGGAAGGAAGGAAAGGAAGGAGGAGAGAGAGAGAAAGAAGGAAAGAAAGAAAGAAAGAAAGAAAAAAAGAGAAAAGGAAGGGAAAGAAAGGGAAGGAAGGAAAGGAAGCAAGAGAGAGAGAAGGAAGAAGAAAAGAAAGAAAAGAAAGAGAAGGGAGGGAAAGGAAAAGAAGGAAAGGAAGGAGGAGAGAGAGAGAGAAAAGAAAGGAAGGAAGGAAGGAAGGAAGGAAGGAAGGAAGGAAGGAAGGAAGGAAGGAAGGGAGGGAAAGAGAGCCGGGCGATACGCACCTCCTCGATCCTTCACGGGAGCATCTCTCCCCTCCGGGAGGGGGGTCGTGGGGGGGGGAAGCAACCGGCTCCCTGCTGGGCCCGTGGGGAGGGGGCGCCGGAGGGGGGCCAGCCAGGCACCGGCTCACATCAGCCCGACCCACCGACCGACCGTCCAGCGGCTGCCTTAGCGGGGGCGGGCGGGGGTCTCGGCGGCGGCGGCGGAGGCTCCGTCTCTCCGGGCAGCGGCGGCGGCTGCAATGGACGCGCGGAGGAAACGCCGCGGCGCCCGGCCGGAAAGACTCGGGAGGAAGGGAGGAATTTGGGGAAGGGAGGAGCGGAGGAGGAGGAGGAGGAGGAGGAGAGAAAAGCGGGGAGGGGGGAGGGCAGCGGCGGAGGGCGACCCCTGGAGGAGGCCGGAGAGCCTGCAGCCGCCCGGCCAGCGGTGCCCAGATGCGCAGGAGAAGCGGGTCACGGCCGGCCTCGGCTTCCCCGGCGCCTGGAGGGGCTAAGAAGGCGCGGGGAGGAGGGGAGGGGTCTTTGCAGCCCTCCCCCCGGGAGTCACGGGGGGGGGGGCGCCCCACCTCTGAGCCTCAGCCCCCCACCTTGCATGAAGGCTGCCAGGGGGTTGGACTAGATGACCTCCAGGGTCCCTTCCAACATCATCATCATCATCATCATTATTATTATTATTATGGATCATTGCACAGTCAGCCAGATGTTCAGACTGGATTTGGCATTTTGTCTACCTATCGAGTCCTTACCCAGGACCTGGGATAGGCAGATGTGGATGTTTGATGCCATTACAGGTATCGTCGCAGGATGGAAGCAGTTCCTAATAAGGCTGCCTTTTGCAATTGACTAATAGCGAATTTGTCAATGCCAATGGTGTTCAAGTGGTGCTCCAGTTGTTTTGGGATTGCACCCAAGGAGCCTATGACTATTGGTACTACCCTTGCTTGCTTTTGCCACAGTCTTTCTATTTCTATTTGTAGGTCTTTGTATTTTGTTATCTTCTCCAGTTCTTTCTCGTCTATTCTGCTGTCTCCAGGCACTGCCACATCCACTATCCAGACTTTTTTGTCTTTCTTATCGACAATTGTTAAGTCTGGGGTGTTATGTGCAGGTGCTTGTCTGTTTGAATTCTGAAGTCCCAGAGCAGTTTAATTTGATCATTTTCTATGACTTTCTCTATTTTATGATCCCACCAGTTCTTGCTTACAGGCAAATGATATTTTTTGCAGATCTTCCAATGCACCACTGTTGCTACTTTGTCATATTATTATTATTATTATTATTATTATTATTATTATTATTATAAGCCCCCTTCCTCCCAAAAATGGGGGCTTGGAAGATCTCCCCCGCTCTGGAAAAAAATTGCTGGGCTTGAGCGGGGTGCAGTGCAGTGGCACCCCTCTTTTCCCCTTGCAAGGGGTGACCTTTTAGGTTGCCCCCAGCTCAAACCGAGAGTTCCTGGCCAACCCCTCCCTCTCCTTTGGGGCAGCCCCTGAGATACTGGAAGGCTGCTATCATGTCCCCATCCAGCCAGGTCCAGAGCTGCCCGTTGGTCCAGGGATCTCCTTGGGGTCAGCTGTCCCTTGGAGGTCTCCAGAGTCCAAGGTCTTTGGCTTCCATGCTTGACCCAGAAGGTCTGAAGTGCTGCGTCGGCCCCAAGACCATTTCCTGACCAGCCTTGTCCTCCTTCTGCTTCTCCAATGGGCCTCTGGAGAAGCCCACCAGGTAGAGATCAATCAATCGATCAATCAATCAGATTAGAACTGGAAAGGACCTTGGAGGTCTTCTAGTCCAACTCTCTGCTCAAGCAGGAGAAACTGTACCATTTCAGACAAGTGACTGTCCCGTTTCTTATCTTAAAAACTTCCAGTGTTGGAGCATTCACAATTTCTGGTGGCAAGCTGTTCCACTGGTCCTCACTGTCAGGAAATTCCTCCTTAGTTCCAGGTTGCTTCTCTCCTTGATGAGTTTCCGTCCGTTGCTTCTTCTCCTGCCTTCAGGCGCTTTGGAGAATAGCTGGACCTCCTCTTCTGCCTTGTGGCAGCCCCTCAGATACTGGAACGCTGCTATCGTGTACACCTAGTCCTTCTTTTCTCTAGACTGGCCATCCCCAATTCCTGCAACCGTTCTTCGTATGTTTTAGTCTCCAGGCCTTTAATCGTCCTAGATGTTCTTCTCTGCACTTTTTCCAAAGTCTCCTTTTTTGTGATGTGGTGACCAAAATTAGCTGCAGTATTCCAGATGTGGTCTTACTAGGGCAGCGGTTCTCAACCTGTGGATCGGGACCCCATTTGGGGTCGAATGACCATTTCACGGGGGTCGCCAAACAATGCAGTCCGCCATTTTTTCCCCCTTTTCCTTAGCTGTGCTACTCCCTTTTATTCTATTGGCTTTTGAAAGCCAATAGAATAGACTCTCTTGAATAGAGTCTAATTCTATTGGCTTTCCAAAGCCAATAGGAATGGTCCAGGCTGTCTCTGCCCTCCTGAGCCCGCCAAAAGTCCCATTCTGCAAACGGTGCTGCACCAGTTGAGTAGTCCTCGACTTACGACCGATTGAGTAATTCTCGACTTACGACCGGTTGGGGGGGTCGCGGCATTAAAAAGGTTGAGAACCACTGTACTAGGGTTTTATAAAGCGGTACTAATACTTCACATGATCTTAATTCTGTGCCTCTGTTTATACAACCCAGGATTGTGTTAGCGTTTTTGGCTGCTGCTGCACACAGCTGGCTCGTGTTTAAGGGATCGTTCATTAGGACTCCAAGGTCCATCTCACAAAAAACTGTTTTTAAGCCAGGTCTCGCCCAATCTGTACTCTACCTTTGGTTTTTCCCACCCAGGTGTAAAATCTTCCTTTTCTCCACATTAAATATCATTTTGTTAGACAGGGCCCATGGTTCAAGTCTGTCAAGATCTTTTTGGACCTTGAGCTTATCTTCTGGGGTGGTGGCTACTCCTGCCAGATTAGTGTTGTCTGCATGACCAAATGATCAGATCTACATCCAACTTCTGGCCTCATGTGCATCTGACGTGATGGACAGAACCTGCCCCGTCCTTTCATAAAGGATCTAGCTTGGGACCCTGTGAATTGGTCTACTCTACACCCAGTGCAAAGCCATCATGTAGTTATAAATCACACTTGCTACACAAGCCATAACATTGTGACCCTGGGAATATTTTGACAGCCGGAGACCTCCACGAACTCTTCGGGTAGTTGAAGGCTACAAGGATTGAGTGGATAGTGCAAAGTGCCTTCAGGTGGAGGAAAGATTGGAGCCTTATCTTATAAAGCTCTTTAAGTTTCCCCAACACAAGCAGCCAGGAACAAGGTCCAAGTAAACAGCAAGGTGGAAGGGCAGAAGTGTTAGGAAATGGAATAGAATAGAGCTGGAAGGGACCTTGGAGGTCTTCTAGTCCAGCCCCCTGCTCAAGCAGGAGAATCTACACCATCTCAGACAGGTGAATGTCTAGTCTCTTCTTAAAAACCTCCAATGATGGAGCGCCCACGATTTCTAGTGGCAGGCTGTTCCACTGGTTGATTGTCCTCACTGTCAGGAAGTTTCTCCTTAATTCCAGGTTGCTTCTCTCTTTGATCAGCTTCCATCCCTTATTTTTCGTCCTTCCATCTGGTCCTTTGGAGAATAATTGGACACCCCCCTCTTCCTTGTGGCAGCCCCTCAAATACTGGAACGCTGCTATCCTGTCTCCCCTATTTCTTGGTTTCTTTAGACCAGCCAAACCCAAGTCCCACAGCCGTTCTTCGTATGTTTTAGCCTCCAGGCCTTGGATCATCTTAGTTGCTCTTCTCTGAATTTTCTCCAAACTCTCAACATCTTTTTTGTGATACGGTGACCAAAATTGGCTGCCGTATTCCAGGTGTGGCCTCACTAGGGTTTTATAAAGCGGTAATAATACTTCACGTGATCTTGATTCTATATGAAATGTCTGCAAGCCCCTGAGATATTGGAAGACTGCTATCATGTCACCCCTCGTCCTTCTCTTCAAGTTGAAGTCCACCAGTCATAAACCGGCCTAAGCTTAGGCCAGAGGTAGGCAACCTTGGCTCTTTTATGACTCGTGGACTTCAACTCCCAGAATTCCTGAGCCAGCCACGCTGAGGGGAAAGGAAGAGGTTTCCAAGCTGAGCCATGCTGGCTCAGGGATTCTGGGAGTTGAAGTCCAGAGTCATGAAGGGGCCAAAGTTTCCCTCATGCTGGCTCAGGAATTCTGGGAGTTGAAGTCCGCGAGTCATAAAAGAGCCAAGGTTGTCTACCCCTGGCCTAGGAGGCTCACCACTTAGAGCAGGAGGACTTAGGCCAGGGGTAGGCAACCTTGACTCTTTTATGACTGGTGGACTTCAACTCCCAGAATTCCTGAGCCAGCCAAGCTGAGGGGAAAGGGAGAGGTTTCCAAGCTGAGCCATGCTGGCTCAGGAATTCTGGGAGTTGAAGTCCACGAGTCATAAAAGAGTCAAGGTAGACTACCCCTGGCCTAGCACAAGGGTGTCCAGCCTTCAAGACTGGTGGACTTCAACTCCCAGAATTCCTGAGCCAGCATAACTCAGCTTGGAAACCTCTCCCTGTCCCCTCAGCATGGCTGGCTCAGGAATTCTGGGAGTTGAAGTCCACGAGTCACAAAAGAGACAAGGTTGCCTACCCCTGGCCTAAGTCCTCCTGTTCTAAGCGGTGAGCCTCTGAGACCAGGCGTGGGCAACCTGGGCTCTTTTATGACTCGTGGACTTCAACTCCCAGAATTCCTGAGCCAGCATGGGGGAACTATGGCTCCTTCATGACTCATGGACTAACTCCCAGAATTCCTCAGCCAGCATGGGGGAATTATGGCCCCCTCATGACTCATGGATTTCAATTCCCAGAATTCCTGAGCCAGCATAGCTCAGCTTGGAAACCTCTCCCTGTCCCCTCAGCATGGCTGGCTCAGGAATTCTGGGAATTGGTCCACGAGTCATAAAAGAGCCAAGGTTGCCTACTCCTGTTCTAAATGAATGAACAAACGAACATTTGGTTTATGAGAAGGTATCTTGGTCCTGCTTCCCCGATTACAACCCAGTTCCACCTGCTTTGGGTCTCGTTGCTGGGGCAGCCACAGCAATGGTGAGGTTGCCATGGCGCTTTAGGATTCCAGATCTTTGGAAAGCTCACCGTTCTCATCTCCTTCGCCAACTGATGTAGACCAGGACAGCTGTGGTCTTGCTTTCTCCAGGTGGGAATCTTCTCCAAAGGTGGGAAAGAAGGAAGGCTGGTGAGAGCAAGCCCAGTTTTGATGGTGCCCCCCTTTCTGGAGAAGCTGTTGCTAGAAAAGCTGATCGGGGACTTGAGGCCAAAACAAATAATGGTTGTAGGAATTGGGTACGTCTACTTTAATGAGGAGAAGGACTGGGGGTGGCATGAGAGCAGTCTTCCAATATCTCAGGGGTTGCCCCAAAGAAGAGGGAGTCAAGCTATTCTCCAAAGCAAGAAGCAACAGATGGATAGATAAAACAATTAATGAGTGGAACGACTTGCCTCCAGAAGTTGTGGGTGCTCCAACACTGGAGGTTTTTAAGAAGAGACTGGACAGCCATTTGTCTGAGATGGTATAGGGCTTCCTGCCTGAGCAGGGGGTTGGATTAGATGACCTCCCAGATCCCCTCAGACTCTGTTATTCAGTTTCATGTGCTCAGTATAGTTGAGTAGAGGAAGGATGGAGTAAAGGGAAGGATGAAAGACTGCAAGGAAAGAGTAAGAGACTCATGCTATTTATCTTGTCCACTTTATACAGATGTCTAGCTCAGGGGTAGGCAACCTCGGCTCTTTTATGACTGGTGGACTTCAACTCCCAGAATTCCTCAGCCAGCATGGGAGAAACTTTGGCTCCTTCATCACTTGTGGACTTCAACCCCCAGAATTCAGAGCCAGCACGGGAACCAGGGCCTTTTATGACTCGTGGACTTCAACTCCCAGAATTCCTGAGCCAGCATGGCTCAGCTTGGAAACCTCTCCCTTTCCCCTCAGCAGGGCTGGCTCAGGAATTCTGGGAGTTGAAGTCCACGAGTCATAAAAGAGCCGAGGTTGGCTACCCTTGACCTAAACGATACCTATGCAGAAACCTATTCTGAGATTTGTTTTTTAAATCCTGGTCTAAGATTTGACTTGATTTTAAGTGAGAAGACTAAAATAAAACGAGTAACTTTAATGTTTTTAGGAATTAATTTTGGCATCCATCACTGCAATTAGAGTGATGTCGATCTGAGGGAATTATATTGCTATTTCCTGGTCTAAACAGGTAGTCCTAGACCAGGGTTAGGCAACCTTGGCTCTTTTGTGACTCGTGGACTTCAACTCCCAGAATTCCTGAGCCAGCATGGCTCAGCTCGTAAACCTCTCCCTTTCCCCTCAGCATGGCTGGCTCAGGAATTCTGGGAGTTGAAGTCCACCAGTCATAAAAGAGCCCAGGTTGCCTACCCCTGCTCTAGGTAAATACAGACAGAACACGATGTTCAGAATAGCTTTCATCATCCGTGTGGTCCACACTGACCTATTCCATTGAAGAAGGTGTTCATCTAGTGGAAGGAGATCCACCAGGCCCAAAAGAAGAAGAGGGGACATTCTTTTTGGCAAAATGTGTCTCTTCCAAATGGGGGTCCTTGCTGAACTCTGAGCGTTGGTTGTTTTTTTGCACATTTCACAAGCCAAACTAGGTAACAGCATCAGTGCTAGAAGAGCGTGCTTCTACCACTCCTTTATAATACTGAAGGTGTTATCTGGTTTGGTAATGAAATGTCTACAAGAAAATAACTAAGCTCAGAGAGCACCAAACAGTCCTCCTCCTCCTCCTCCTCCTCCTCCTCCCACAAACCCCACTCCCTTCTAGCACTGATGTTCTTACCTAGTTGGGTAATGAAATGTCTGCAAGAAAACCACCAAGGTCAGAGGGCACCAAGGACCCACAGTTCTCCTCCTCCTTCTCCTCCTCCTCCTCCTCCTCCTCCTCCTCCTCCTCCTCCTCCTCCTCCCCCTCTCCGCAAACCCGACTCCCTTCTAGCACTGATGATGTTACTTAGTTTGGTAATGAAATGTCTGCAAGAAAACCACCAACCTTAGAGAGCACTAAGAACCCACAATCCTCCTCCTCCTCTTCCTCCTCCCCCTACTCCTCCTCCTCCTCCTCCTCGTCTCCACAAACCCCACTCCCTTCTAGCACTGATGCTATTACATTGTTGGGCAATGAAACGTCTGCAAGAAAACCACCCAGCTCAGAGAGTGCCCGGAACTCCTCATTTCAACCATGTGCTACAAATGTTCTCCATTCTTCCAAACAAGAATGAGTGTCATTTACGTCTTCCTTCCTTCCTTCCTTCCTTCCTTCCTTCCTTCCTTCCTTCCTTCCTTCCTTCCTTCCTTCCTTCCTTCCTTCCTTCTTTTTCTTCTTTATTTTTGCCTAGGTCAACACATTAAATTTGTCGAGAGAGAGAAGATGTTCTTATTGCGCCCGGAAGAAAACGTCTGAGGTCTTCGTGGCGCTGTCGACCTTTCCCTGTCTCATGACCAGCTCCTCCGCTTTCTTCCCCTCCAAAGTTCCCTTCGTCTCTTGAGAGAGGAACTCTGGGCGGTTCTTTCCACGTCTGCAGAAGAAGAAGACCCGAGGAGGGGGTCTTCCAAATGTCCAGCAAGACAGACAAGGTCAACCCATGGATGGACAAGACCCAATCCATTTGGGACTCTTTGGGAGACCGTGTTGGGTGTTAAACCGGACCTTCTTCTTTCCCTGGATGACCAAGTCGTCCGTTCTCGGGAAGCCAAGTTGGAGAAGATGTCGGGGCCAAATGGTTCCGCTTCGGGAGAATTGGTAGAAGCCCTGGGCCTGCTGGATCCGAAGGCCCCTGCCCAGGTGCAGGAAGAAAGGAATAATACAGCCCCCAGTCCCTCTGGAGAAAGAAGGAACTCGTGTTCGTCGGTGGTCGTTTCCCCATCTGAGGAGAAGGAAGAAGAAGGCTCCCAGGTACCATAATTTGGGATATGGAATGGTTCTGTCCCAGCCGACGCATGTCCTTGTTACTTCACAAAGACAACCCCTCTTTTAACAGTAGACTGGAAAATAATAATAATAATAATAATAGTAAAGTTGGAAGGGACATTGGAGGTCATCTAGTCCAACCGCCTGCTCAGGCAGGAAACCCTATACCATTGCGGACAAATGGCTGTCCAGTCTCTTTTTAAAAACTTCCAGTCTTGGAGCATTTACTGCTTCTGGAGGCAGGTTGTTCCACTGGTTAATTGTTCTCACTGTCAGGAAGTTTCTCCTTAGTTCCAGGTTGCTTCTCTCCTTGATGAGTTTCCCTCTGTTGCTTCTTGTCTTTGCCTTCAGGCGCTTTGGAGAATAGCTTGACTCCCTCGTCTTTGGGGCAGCCCCTGAGATACTGGAAGGCTGCTATCCTGTCCCCCCTCGTCCTTCTCTTCGTTAAACTAGACACACCCAATTCCAGCAACCTTTCCTTTTATGTTTTAGCCTCCAGTCCCCTAATCATCTTTGTTGCTCTTCTCTTCTTTCTAGAGTCTCAGCATCTTTTTTGCATTGCGGTGACCAAAACTGGATGCAGTATTCCAAGTGTGGCCTTACCAAGGCCTTGTAAAGTGGTATTAACACTTCACGTGATCTTGATTCTATCCCTCTGTTAATGCAGCCTAGCACTGTGATGGCCTTTTTGGCAGCTGCAGCACATGGCTGGCTCATATTTAGGTGATTGTCCACTAGGACTCCGAGGTCCCTCTCACAGTTACTGCTATAAACTCCTTTTATTTGAGTTACAGACCTGATAATTGTCCCAGAAAAAACAAAAGCAACAGAACACTTTTCCAACAGAGATAAAACGGAGCGGTAGTCAAACAGGAAATAACTCCCAAGCAAAATAAACAAACCATGATGTCTTGACACTGAAGTTCTTTGCAAACGGTTGCCTCCAGCAAACCAGTCCTGCCCACACGTTCCCTTTTTGTTACGCAGCCCCCAAGGCCTCTTTCTCCTCCTCCCCTGGAGTTGCCCCATTGCCTCCCTCTGTCCTGCTCGTGTGACCTGTCTGCATTTACGAGCGTCTCTGAGGTCTTCTAGCTGTGCTTCCTCCCGACAGAGCTTCCCAGCACAGCTGGCTCTCTGCTCGATCACGAGTGGACGGGCCAGCCTCTTCATTAGTTTGTAACTCTGGCAGCTCATCAGAGCCTCCCTCCGACTCTGATGGCTCTCCTCCTCCTCCTCCTCCTCCGATTCCCCAGATTCAACTACCGGGATCACAGGCTGGCACAGAATCGCAACGTAATCTCTGCATTTGTAATTTACGCTTTCTAAGGGGAGCATCCGGACGTCGTTCCTTGCTTCCTTCCAGATCATCAGCCCTTAAAGTAGGGATGGAACCGGGCAAAAAAATATGGGACATTGGCCAACGGGTGGGGAACAAACTTTAGAGTCCTTCTCTGTTCTGGAAATAATCTTCTAGAGCAGTATTTCTCAACTTTCAGATATCTGGACTTCGACTCCCAGAATTCCCCAGCCAGCATAGCTGGCTGGGGAATTCTGGGAGTCGAAGTCCACCTGTCTTTTAAGTGCCTACGATTGAGAAAGATGGATGAAAAATACACAGAGTCCTTGCCCGTTCGTTTAGTGACCCTTCAAAGATACAACGGCGCTGCAAAAAGGGACTTACGACCATTCCTCACACTTATGACTGTTGCAGCGTTTCCCCAGTGGTCATGTGATCAAAACCAGCCGCTCGGCAATTGGCTCATATTTATGATGGTTACAGCGATCCCCTTTTTGCGTCCCTCCTGTGAGCAAAGTCAAGGGAGGGGGAGCCCGATCCGCTTAGCGGCTGTGTGGCTAATGGCAGCAATCGGCTTAACCGCGGCGGTGAGAAAGGCCGTACAACGGGGCAAAATTCCATGAACAAAATGTTTGACTTAGCAAGAGAAGTTTTGGATCGACGTGTGATCGTAAGGGGAACAGTGCTTCCCACCTGCGTCCGTTTCAAAAATGTTTCTTCCCGTTTTATTGCAGGAGCCGGAGGTCACACCGGGTTGGGCCTCTCCAGTGGACGTCCTGCTGTCCGTGGTGAGTAGCCTGAAGACCTGTGAGACGGCCCTCCTGGACGCAACTGCAGTGAAACTGGCCGTGATTTTGCAAAAAGAGAAAACTGATCTGAAGGACAAGGTGACAGACTCCGTAGAAGTCGGAACCAGCCAGACGATGGGGTCCCAAGAGATTGGACGGCCGTTGGTCTGAAACGGTATAGGGTTTCCGGCCTGAGCAAGGGGTTGGACTAGATGACCTCCAAGGTCCCTTCCAGTTCTATTCTATTCTATTCTATTCTATTCTATTCTATTCTATTCTATTCTATTCCTTATTCTGTTCTGTTCTGTTTCATTCAATTCCTATTATTCTATTCTATTCTATTCTATTCTATTCTATTCTATTCTATTTTATTCTATTCCCTACTCTACTCTACTCTATAATAATAATAATAATAATAATAATAATAATAATAATAATAATAATAAAGTTGGAAGGGACTAGAAGACCTCCAAGATCCCTTCCAACTTTATTATTATTATCATTATTATTATTGAGTATAGAGTAGAGTAGTGTAGAGTAGAGTAGAGTAGAAAAGGGAATAGAATAGAATAGAATAGAATAGAATAGAATAGAATAGAATAGAATAGAATAGAATAGAATAGAATAGGAAATAGAATAGAATAGAACATAGAATGGAATGGAATGGAATGGAATAGAAAATATGGAAGGGAATAGAATAGAAATAGAATTGAATAGAATAGAACAGAACAGAATAGAATAGAAATAGAAATAGAAATAGGAATAGAATAGAATAGAAATAAGAATAGAATAGAATAGAATAGAATAGAATAGAATATATAGAATGGAATGGAATGGAATGGAATAGAATAGAATAGAATTAGAGAATAGAATAGAATAGAATAGAATAGAATAGAATAGAATAGAATAGAATAGAATAGAACTGGAAGGGACCTTGGAGGTCTTCTAGTCCAACCCCCTGCTCAGGCAGGAGACCCTATATACCATTTCAGACACATAGTTGTCCAATCTCTTCTTAAAAACCTCCGGTATTGGAGCATCCACAACTTCTGGAGGCAACTTCTGTTCCACTGGTTAATTGTTCTCACTGTCAGGCCATTTCTCCTTAGTTCTAAGCTGGGTGTCTCTTTGATAAATTTCCATCTGAAGCTTCCTATCCTACCCTCAGATGCTTTGAAGAATAGGTAGACCCCTCTTTACTTTGTGGCAGCCCCTCAAATATTGGAAGACTCCTATCATGTCACCCATTGTTCCTTCTTTCCACTAGACTAGGCATCCCCAATTCCAGCAACCGTTCCTTCTATGTTTTAGCCTCCAATCCCCTGATCCTCTCTGTTGGTCTTCTCTGCACTCTTTCCAGAGTCTCAACATCTTTTTTTGTATCAGGGTGACCAAAACTGAACACAGTATTCCAAAAGGGATCTAACCAAAGCAGCATAAAGCGGTTCTTCCTAAGTCTTGGACCATCGGTGCTGCTTGAACATGGTTTCGGAAGAACTCCTGAAGGCTCCTGTAGAACCCCAACATGGTCGCTGCTGAAGTTCCTGATTCCCTTGACTGGTGATCCTTACCCATCTCTCTCTCTTCCATCCTTCAGGTCTCAGAAATAGTGGAATGGCTGTATTGGGAGATCAGCAGCATCCCGGTAGGCAGAGCTCGGAGGGCGGCGTTGAACGTGGTGACTTCTCTAGCAGAGGTGTCTCCTGAAGACGTGGTCTCCAGCCTCTTGAAACACTCCCTGCCCTGCAACAGGTATGACACTGCCGCCTCACCGGCCTGGATTTCAAGAGGGGAGGTCCATAATTAGCATTCCAAGCAACTGGCTTCCAGTCAGTTACCTGTTCCAAAGGTGTTTTCCAGGAGGCAAATGGATTTCTTTGTTTTTCTTCTGAAGACGTTTCGCTTCTCATCCAAGAAACTTCTTCAGCTCTGACTGGATGGTGGGGAAGGGAAGGATTTATACTCCTTGCAGACAGCTGGTCATTTGCCTTCTTTTAGAGGGTCGTTGAGGCCACTTGGAGGTTTACCTGTAGTCCTCAGGGTTACCTGAGTGGTGCAAATGGGTGTGGGGCCTTCTTGGACCTGTGTTGTAATTGGAGATAGATGATGTCACATCACCCCCCCCCGTTGAGGGAGGGCTATTCAATTTGGAGATAGATAGCCTCTTGGACCCCTCTTTCAAACCAGCGGTCCTCTCTGTCCAGAATGTGGATTTTGATAAATCTCCAGGTGGCCTCAACGATTTTCTAAAAAGATGCAAATGACCAGCTGTCTGCAAGGAATATAAATCCTTCCATTCCCCCGCCATCCAGTCAGAGCTGAAGAAGCTTCTGGGATGAGAAGTGAAACGTCTTCAAAGAAAAACAAGGAAGTCCAGTTGCCTCCTGGAAAAAAAGCACCTTTGGAATAACCAGGGCCTGGATGACTGAGACTCTCCATAAACAATCAATTACCTGTGCCAGGGCTAGACAACCTTGGCTCTTTTATGACTGGTGGACTTCCAGAATTCCTGAGCCAGCGATGCTGAGGGGAAAGGGAGAGGTTTCCAAGCTGAGCCAGGCTGGCTTAGGAATTCTGGGAGTTGAAGTCCACCAGTCATGAAGGGGCCATAGTTCCCCCATGCTGGCTCAGGAATTCTGGGAGTTGAAGTCCAGACACACCAAGGTTGGGAAGCACTACCTCAGACTGTATTTTTTTCTTCCTAAAGAACAGCAAATTCTTGCCTCAAGAAACAAATATGCTTGGTTAACACAGATTGCCAATAGAATAAAACTTTCTGGATATAGGCCAGGGCTAGGCAACCTTGGCTCTTTTATGACTGGTGGACTTCAACTCCCAGAATTCCTGAGCCAGCATGGCTCAGCTTGGAAACCTCTCCCTTTCCCCTCAGCATGGCTGGCTCAGGAATTCTGGGAGTTGAAGTCCATCAGTCATAAAAGAGCCGAGGTTGCCTACCCCTGCCATAGTGTGACTTTGGAACAGCCACCGGTTATTGTAATTTTGTTTCCTCAAGCCAACCCTCCCTTTATTCCCCCCCCCCCGCAATTCCCCCTCCCTATAGAGTATGGCAGGCTAACTGCAAACAATGCACAGCGTAGCAGGATAGCGAGGATGTGCGCGCAGCTTGACTTGCACACGTTTAACTGCATGTGTGCAAGCTAGTCTGCCACTTGCACGGCCAGGTTCCAAATAAGCAATGGCCCAGGGGTTGGGGACCCATGTTCTAAGCAATGCAGTTTGGTGTCTGCACAACTGGTCCAGTTTCAGAGCTTTCCTTATCTTCTGAAGAAGCTTCCATAGAATAGAATAGAATAGAATAGAATAGAATAGAATAGAATAGAATAGAAGAGAAGAGAAGAGAAGAGAAGAGAAGAGAATAGAATAGGATAGAAAATATGGAATGGAATGCAACAGAATATGGAATGGAATGGAATGGAATAGAATAGAAGAGAATAGAAAATATGGAATGGAATGCAACAGAATATGGAATGGAATGGAATAGAATAGAATAGAATAGAATAGAATAGAATAGAATAGAATAGAATAGAATAGCAATGGAATGGAATGGAATGGAATGGAATGGAGTGGAGTGGAGTGGAGTAGGATAGAGTAGAGCAGGATAGAATAGAGACGGAAGGGACCTTGGAGGTCATCTAGTCCAACCCCCTGCTCAGGCAGGAAACCCTATACCATTTCAGACAAATGGCTGTCCAGTCTCTTCTTAAAAACTTCCAGTGTTGGAGCATTCACCGCTTCTGGAGGCAGGTGGTTCCACTGGTTAATTGTTCTCACTATCAGGAAGTTTCTCCTTAGTTCTAGGTTGCTTCTCTCTCCTTGATTAATTTCCATCTGTTGCTTCTTGTCCTGCCTTCAGGCGCTTTGGAGAATAGCTTGATTCCCTCTTCTTTGGGGCAGCCCCTGAGATACTGGAAGACTGCTATCATGTCCCCCCTCGTCCTTCTCTTCGTTAAACTAGACATACCCAATTCCATCAACCTTTCCTTTTATGTTTTAACCTCCAGTCCCCTGATCATCTTTGTTGCTCTTCTCTGCACTCTTTCTAGAGTCTCAACATCTTTTCTAAATCATGGTGACCAAAAGTGGATGCAGGATTTCAAGTGTGGCCTTACCAAGGCCCTGTAAAGTGGTATTCACCTGAGCTTGACTCTCTCCCTCTGTCGATGCAGCCCAAGGACTGTGCTGGCCCTGCACCCGTTGCAGCCTGACAAAGCCAGTGGGTGAAGTCCCACCTGTCCACACTTCCCTTTCACAGCACGGCCTCCGAGATGTGGAGGACTCTCTGCGTGGTTCCCGAGACCAACACCAAAGTCCTCTGGCACTTGCTCCGAGAGCTGAAACGGGGAGACACCGCTGGTTACGAGGAGTCTCTCACTCCTTTGGCAGTAAGTGTCAGCCCTGCGAGGTAGACCAAAGCAGAGCATGCACAATCCCAGAACTTTGCAAGCATCATTAGAGGTAGTTCTTCACTTACAACCATTCATTTAGCGACTGTCCAAAGTTACAAGGCCACTGGAAAAAGCCATGGGCGACCTGGGCACCGAAGGCTGTTGCAGCATCCCCAGGGTCCGTGGGATCAAAACGGGGGCATTGGGCAACGGGCGTGTTTTTGCGATGGTTGCAGTGGGCTGAGATCCCGGGATCCCCAACCGGCTTCCCCAAGAGAAAGACCGTGGGTGAAGCAGGACTCCCTTCACAGTGAGCCAGTAGCAACAGCGGTTAGACTTATCTACCACTCCGTAGTGCTTGTACAGCCCCCTCTAAGTGGTCGGCCTGTTGCACCCCCAACAATCTGGGTCCTCATTTTACCGACCTCGGAAGGACGGAAGGCCGAGTCAATCTTGAGCCCTGTTAGGATCGAACTCCTGGCAGTGAGCAGAGTTTGCCTGCAATATGGCATTCTGACCACTGGGAGGAAAGGGAGGGAAGGAGGGAGAGAGGGAAGGAAACAAAAAGGCAGGAAGAAAGAAAGAAAGAAAGAAAGAAAGAAAGAAAGAAAGGAAGGAAGGAAGGAAGGAGAGAGAAAGAAAGAAAGAAAGAAAGAAAGAAAGAAAGGGAGGGAGGGAGGGGGGAGGGAAAGAGGGAGGGAGGGAGGGAGGGAGGGAGGGAGGGAAAGAAAAAGGCAGGAAGGAAATACAGAAGGAAGGAGCAGGAGGGAAGGAGGGAGGGAGGAAAAGGGAGGGAGGAAGGAAGGAAGGAAATAGGAAGGAAGGGAAGGAGGGAGGGAGGGAGGGATGTAAGGAAGGATCACTGAGGATGTTCCCTAATTATTCCTCCTCCTCCTCCTCCTCCTCCTCCTCCTCCTCCTCCTCCTCCTCCTCCTCCTCCTCCCTTCTAGCACTGATGATGTTACCTAGCTGGGTCATGAAATGTCTGAAGGAAAACAACCAAGCTCAAAAAGCACCAAGGACCCCACAGTCCTCCTCCTCCTCCTCCTTCTCCTCCTCCTCCTCCTCCTCCTCCTCCTCCTCCTCTTCCTCCTCCTCCTCCTCCTCCCGCTCCTCTTCACAAACCCCACTCCCTTCTAGCACTGATGATGTAACTTAGTTGGGTTGTGAAACTGCCAAGCTGAAAGAGCACCAGGAACCTCTTGGCGTTCTCCCGTTTTTTCTCTCCTAGGCCCTGAGAGCGCTGGGCGAAATGCTGAAACTCTTCAGCTGCATGGGAGCCATCCAGGGGTTCTACCCAGCCCTCCTCCTGGCCATCCTGACCCAGATCCACTTCCTGGTGCGGCTTCCGGGCTACGGGGATGATGGGGAGGAGGAGAAGAAAGGCCAGATGTGCCAAGCAGCCAACTCCAGCGCCAGGGCGAACAGCCACCACCCCCTCCATGGCAAACAGGTGGCTGCTGAACATGTGAGGTGATTGTATGGGGGAGACACCCCCTCCTAGTGAAGGGGTGCTTGTCTGGGCTTCTCTCCCTTGACTCTGGTGAAGACGAGGTCCCCCCAAATCCTGTCTCACTCAGAATAGAGCCGGAAGGGACCTTGGAGGTCTTCTAGTCCAGCCCCCTGTTCAAGCAGGAGACCCTGCCCAGACCATTTCAATCAATCAATCGATCGAGCTGGAAGGGACCTTGGAGGTCTTCTAGTCCAGCCCCCTGCTCAGGCAGGAAACCCTATCCCATTTCAGACAAATGGCTGTCCAGTCTCTTCTGAAAAACTTCCAGTGTTGGAGCATTCACTGCTTCTGGAGGCAGGTGGTTCCACTGGTTAATTGTTCTAACTGTCAGGAAGTTTCTCCGTAGTTCCAGGTTGCTTCTCTCCTTGATTAGTTTCCATCCGTTGCTTCTTGTCCTGCCTTTAGGCGCTTTGGAGAATAGCTTGACTGCTTCTTCTTTGGGGCAGCCCCTGAGATATTGGAACACTGCTATCATGTCTCCCCTGTTTCTTCTTTTCTTTAGACTAGTCCAGGGGTAGGCAACCTCAGCTCTTTTATGACTGGGGGACTTCAACTCCCAGAATTCCTGAGCCAGCATGGCTCAGCTTGGAAATCTCTCCCTTTTCCCTCAGCACGGCTGGCTCGGGAATTCTGGGAGTTGAAGTCCACCAGTCATAAAAGAACCAGGGTTGCCTACACCTGGACTAGCTAGACCCAAGTCCTACAGCCTTCTTCGTATATTTTAATCTCCAGGCCTTGGATCCTCTTAGTTGCTCTTCTTTGCATTTTTTCCAAAGTCTCAACATCTGTTTTGTAACGTGGTGACCAAAACTGGATGCTGTATTCCAAGGGTGGCCTTACTAAGGCTTTATAAAGCGGTACTAACACTTCACATGATTTTGATTCTGTGCCTCTGTTTATACAAACCAGAATTGTGTTAGCCTTTTTGGCTGCTACCACATAACTGCTTCCTCATATTTAAGGGATCATCCACTAGGACTCCAAGGTCCCTCTCACAGTTGCTGTTTTTGAGCCAGGTTTTTCGCCTAACCTGTACTCGTACCTTTGGTTTTTTTCCTGCCCAGGTGTGAAACCTTGCTTTTCTCCACATTAAATTTCATACATCATATTAAGCTAGGATTTGAAACCTTGCTTGACTAAGCCATCTAATCTACTTTGCATATAACATCATGCCATCATTGCTAGGACATGTTTCACGCTAAACCAGTGGTTCTCAACCTTTTTAATACCGCGACCCCCAACCGGTCGTAAGTTGAGGACTACCCAACCGGTTGTAAGTCGAGGACTTTCCCTGCCCGGGAGCGCTGCGCATGCGTGGTGCTGCCCCCTGCGCCGGCCGAGGCGTAGCTGGCAAGGGGCAGCGACGGCGCAGGCCGACCACTGGCTGGACCACCAGCTGGCCCAGCCCAAGGGAGGTAAGGCACCCGCCGGGCCCCACATGTGCCAGCAACCCTCCCTGCGCCCGCCGGCCTCCCACCTCCCACCCCTGGCCCTCTTTTACTTACATTTTTAGTAGTTGCTCAGCAGGGAGGGGTGGAAACTTCCAGACAGCTCGCCTTCGCTGCAGACAACTCGCAGCACCGTTTGCAGAATGGGGCTTTTGGCGGGCTCAGCAGGGCAGAGACAGCCTGGACAATTCCTATTGGCTTTGGAAAGCCAATAGAATTAGACTCTATTCAAGAATAAAAGGGAGTAGCACAGCTAAGGAAAAGGGGAAAAAATGGCGGACTGCGTTGTTTGGCGACCCCCGTGAAATGGTTTTTCGACCCCAAATAGGGTCGCGACCCCAGGTTGAGAGCCGCTGCGCTAAACTAAACACAATCAAATGGTTTGTCACCATGCATGAGCAGGAGGTTGGACTAGATGACCTCCAAGGTTCCTTCCAACTTCATCATCATCATCATCATCATTATCATCATCATCATTATTATTATTACTATTATTAACCCATCCACTGAATCCATTGCTAAACAAATAAGACCGTCCATCTTAAGGATCCTGTTAGAGATGTAAAATTCCCAAATCTCTTGGAGTAAATGGAGAAAAGCATTTATCCTTTGTTTTCTGGAAAAATAAAGAGCCTATTTCTTCTTAGCATCCTTTGTTGACATAAAGTCAATTTGTTGTTTTAATCATGTACATTATATACAACTTGTTTTTCTCCTAAAATAACAGTTATGTCATGGTTCCGACAGATGGAACTCTTCAAAAGAACTTCGAGGCATTGTTTACCTTAAAGAATCTTTATTTGAGTAGCATAATATCGGCAGTGCATAATTGAAGCCAAAAACTGAATTCCCCTCCCCTGGGCACCTAGTATCAAAGCACAATTCCCTCCTCCAATTAACAGTGATAAATCTCATTCCCCAATTAGCTTGAAGCATGGTTCTCCGGCCTGCCAAATTCTTATCAGCTCTGGTTACAATAACCTTGATTCTCAGGCTAAGTTTAGTGTTGTTATGTCTAGCTAGACCAGTGATGGCGAACCTTTTAGAAACCGAGTGCCCAACCCCCCACCCCGTCCCTGCTCCGCCCTGCCCACTGGGCCACCCATCACCTCCACAGCCCGCCACAGATCACCCAGGTAGCCCAGCAGCGCCGTGGCGGCCACGCCATCTGCCCATGTCCCGCAGCATCATCTGTGCACGACGGGGCGCAAGGGCAGAATCTTCTCCCCACTGCCCGGCTACTATGTTCTTAGCTGCGCTGCTTCATGTGGGCCACACCCAGGGGCAACTCTCCTCTGGGGGGGCCGCTAGTGAGGAGGGGGCGGGGCTGGGGAGACGGTGCGTGTGCCCACAGAGAGGGCTCCGAGTGCCGCCTCTGGCACCTGTGCCATAGGTTCACCACCACTGAGCTAGACTCTCATTCACATCCCCCCCTTCCAGCATTTATTTATTTATTTTATGAGACTTATATACCGCTTTAAGTGCAAGCACTCTCTAAGCGGTGTACACCAGTAAGCAAAGTATATATATATATTTACATTGCCCCCAACAATCTGGGTCCTCATTTTACCTACCCCGGAAGGATGGAAGGCTGAGTCAACCTTGAGCCGGTGAGATTTGAACCGCTGACCTGCTGAACACAGTCAGCTAAAGTGGCCTGCAGTACTGCACTCTAACTGCTGCGCCACCTCGGCTCTTATAGCATCATCTAACTCAGTACAAAAACATCCGATGTGAGCAGCGTTGACACGTTGGGAATATAGATTTGAAATATGTAATTTACTGAGATAATATTTAAACCGACTAAGAATTAAAGTGACTTTTCTCGTTGCAAAAAAAAAAAAAAAAAAAATTTCATGTGGTTGGATAGGGCCCGTTTGTTCAAGATTGGTCGAGATCTTTCACGATCTGCCCAAGAGCCTTGTTGTCAATGCTGCAAATATTGTATATTCTTGCTTTTGACAATATGTAGAATTGTCTGGTAATTATGGGGTTAATACAGAGCAGAAGGGGGGGTTGGGGGTAAAGCCCGGGAAAGAAAGAGGAAGAAAACCTTTGACCTTCACACTAACTGGATAATGTGAGATATAATGGCTAAGTTAGGGAGGGAACATGCTGATAATTGAACTGCTCAGAGGGAGAGAATTTACTGTAGATCTTAGCATCCCTCTGTTATGCCTGTGCCGACATTTTGTAACAATAAAAGACTTTTAGGAAAATAAATGCCTGGAAGTTCTTTGAAGTGTTTCATTAGCGGGAACCATAACAGGACGTTTTGGGTGGGGTAGGGGGAACCAGACCCCAAACCCCATCCCCAAAGCCCCCCCCAGGGACCCCACACTTGGAGACCAAGACCTTCCGAATCCGAACAAAATCGGGAGGTGGGTCTTCCCCATTTCCCCTTCCTGTAGTTCAGTGGTTCTCAACCTTTCTAATGCCGTGACCCCATAATACAGTTCCCCATGTTGTGGTGACCCCCAAGTGGGTGTGGCCACCAATAAGAGGGAGTAGGACAGCTAGGAAAAAGGGAAAAAAATGGTGGACAGCGTGGTTTGGCGACCCCCGTGAAATGGTCGTTCGACCCCAAATGGGGTCCCGACCCACAGGTTGAGAACCACTGCTGTAGTTGTTTCCCACAACGTTTTTCGACGTACAATTTGTTCAGTGACCGGAGTTATGACACTGAAAAAGTGACTTGCAATTTACAACCGTTGCTGCATTCTCCCCCCCCCCCCATAAATTACAGTCTAATTTACTGTAGATCTTAGCATCCCTCCGTTGTGCCTGTGCCGACATTTTGTAACAATAAAAGACGTTTAGGAAAATAAATGCCTGGAAGTTCTTTGGAATGTTTCATTAGCCGGAACCACAACATCATGCTAGGATCTAAATTCCCTTCCTCTCATCCCTGCGCAGGTTCACAGTGGATACGCTGAGGACTCTGTTGCTGCGGGACCACGACTTTAAGGCCTTGCTGGGCCTGGAGACGAATAAGGTCTGGGGTCTCCTGTCCAGCAAGGAGGAACATCTCACAGGCGTCGTCCTCTTTGCTCGGTAAGGTGCTGCTCCGGAGCAAGTCCCCCCCCCTGACAAAACCATCAGCCCACCTCTCTAATGAAAGTAACCACTCGACGTGTGTGTCTCTATGTGTGTTGGGGGGGCTTCTGTCTCCCCAGAATCCTGGCGATCCTCACAACTCATCACTTCTTGGGGCTGCTGGCAGAGGTCATCCCTCAGCTGGATGCCCAAGTGGAGGAGAGGGCTTTGACCGCCAAGGCGCTCTTTGCGGGGGTAAGTTGTGGAATTGTCCAGGGCACCCAGTGTGCGAGGCACAACCGGAGGTGTGTAAGTGTGTCAAGGAGAAGGAAGAGAGGAATCCGACTCTACAGGACTCGCTGCTGCTTGTCCGGCTTGTGGACCTTCTGAAGCAAAGATGGGTCAGAAATGGTTCGCCATGAAGGATGGGTCAGGAGGGCCTGTTCTGGGTTGGTCCAGCTCTCCTTGGCCCATGAGGGCCTTCCTTTGGCTTCCAACAGCTGCTTCTGGGCTTCCCCCTTGCTTCCCGGTTCCCCCACCCCAATCCTTCTGGTTTGCAGGCTCCAGATGCTGGAGGTCTGGGCCTCAGGAAGCAGAATAACAGAACATAGTAACAGAGTTGGAAGGGATCCTGGAGGTCCTCTAGTCCAGCCCCCTGCTCAAGTAGGAGAGCCTTGCAGAATAACAGAGTTGGAAGGGACCCTGAAGGTCCTCTAGTCCAACCCCCTGCTCAAGCAGGAGACCCTTGCAGAATAACAGAGTTGGAAGGTACCCTGGAGGTCCTCTAGTCCAACCCTCTGCTCAAGTAGGAAACCCTATACCATTCCAGACAAATGGCTGTCCAGTCTCATCTTAAATGCCTCCAGGGTTGGAGAACCCACAACTTCTGGAGGCAAGTTGTTCCACTGGTTAATTGTTCTCCCTGTCAGGAAGTTTCTCCTTAGTTCCAGGTTGCTTCTCTCCTTGACTAGTTTCCACCCGTTGCTTCTTGTCCTGCCTTCAGGCGCTTTGGAGAATAGCTTGACTCCCTCTTCTTTGGGGCAGCCCCTGAGATACTGGAAGAGTGCTATAATGTCCCCCCTGGTCCTTCTCTTCCTTAAACTAGACATACCCAATTCCTGCAACCGTTCCTGATATGTTTTAGCCTCCAGTCTCCTGATCCTCTTAGGAGGGCCTCTGAGCTGGTCCTCAGTTTCTGCAAAGGTAGCCTATCCCCTCCAGAAGATGTCCCCCATTCAGCCTGGACTTATGGCAAGCCTGGGCTCCTTGGAACTGGCCAGAAGGGGAAGAGAGAAAGAGCCCCCCCACTCCCCACATCTGGAGCTGTTGAGATGGCAAGCAAGGAGCCATGACAATATGCAGGCAGAGGAGGAAGAGGAGGAGGAAGATGACGACTGTGGGGTCCTTGCTGCTTTCTGGACTTGCTTATTTGCTTGCAGATGTTTCATTACCCAACTTGGGAACATCATCAGTGCTAGAAGAAGATGGGTGTGGGAGGAGGAGGAAGAGGAGGGGGAAGAGGAGGAAGAAGAAGAAGAAGAGGAGGAGGAGGAGGGGGGGAGAAGAGGAGGAGGACAGCTGTGGATCCTTAGTGCTCTGTGAGCTTGGTGATTTTCTTGTAGACATTTCATTTCAGACAGCACTGGTCCCCACAGTCGTGCTCCTCCTCCTCCTCCTCCTTTCTAGCACTAAAGATGTTCCCTAGTTGGGTCATGAAATATCTGCAAGAAAACCACCCAGCTCAGAGAGCATCAAGGATCCCACAGTCTTCCTCCTCCTCCTCCTCCTCCTCCTCCTCCTCCTCCTCCTCCTCCTCCTCCTCCTCCTCCTCCTCCTCCTCCTCCTTCTCCTCCTCTTCTTCCTTCTCCTCCTCCTCCTCCCCCACTCAACTCTGCAATCCCTACTTCTGCTAGCCCTGAAGTTGTTACCTAGTTAGGTAGTGAAACCACTGAGATCACCCCACAATTGAACCCAGAGCTACAAAAATCCTGTTCCCTTGGAAGCTGTCCTTGCTAGGCGGGCTCCTTCATGCCCCCCAATGCTGCTGGTTCCCCCCCCCAGGACGTCCCTTGGGCTTCCGAGCAACTCCTGCAAAGGCACTGGGAGTTCTAGTGTAGACGTTGGCAGCCCAGATCAAGCTGAAACGTACTGTATGTGAGCAAGGCTTTCCCCTGCCTTCTCTATGGCGACTAGAGATGCCAGTGGGGCAGGGGACGCCGAGTGGGTGGGGGCTTGGCTTGGGGGGGGGAAACGGGGCTTTCCCCCAACCCTTGGCCCGTGTCTGATGCCGGACGGCTGGGAAGTTTCTTTGCAGCAAGCTCACCACGCATTTGATCCCCAAGAAGCGAGTCCTGACCAAGCTGGAGCAGTGGCAGGCAGACCCCCGGCTGGTGGTCCGCTGGCTTAGCTTCCAGGGATTGGGAAACCTGGCGCTGCAGAAGCAGAAGGTAAATTGGGGGGGGAGGGGGGGGAAAGGTCCTGATCAGGTGTGGAGGGGGAAGAAACTTGGTTCCCAGAGCCAAAAGCGCTCTTCTTTGTATGTGCTGAAATCCTGCTTCTCCAGACTCCTTCCCAAAATGGTGGGATCTGAGGGAGAGAGCGAGGGGCACATAATAATAATAATAATAATAACAATAATAATAATAATAATAACAATAATAATAATAATAATAATAAAGTCGGAAGGGACCTTGGAGGTCTTCTAGTCCAGGGCTTTTCAACCAGTGGTACGGGTACCACCTGTGGTACTTGGGCACCTGGCAGGTGATACACGACCATCCTAGAAAAGTGGTAGTGGGGGAGGGGAATGAGCTGAACCGATGGCAGCACCGCACAAGGCTGAGCGAGAGACGGCTGGAGCTGCAGGACTGTCCGGGCTCAGCGGAAGCGCCAGGATCAGCGCCAGGATCCAGTTAGAGCTCGGCGCTGATCCTGGTGCTTCTGCTGAGCACTGAAGAAGCACCAATCAGCTAGAAAGCAGCGCTGATCCTGGTGCTTCTGCTGAGCCGAGAAGAAGCGCCGATCAGCTGGAATGTTGCAGCCTCTCCAGGTGATTTACATTCAGATGCTTGGCAACTGATTCATATTTATGACGGTCACAGTGACCCAGGGTCATGTGAAGTGACAAACCCAGCAGATGGGGGGGAATAAAAACCAAACACCCGCTCACCCCACCCCTGCTGCCAATCCTCAACAGAAATGCTCACAACAATGAAAACCTCGGACAGGAGGAAGAGCGCATCCGAGTGGGCAGGCAGGTGTCTTGCTCGGCTGTGGCTTGGGGGGCACTTTTTTCAGTGCCATTGTAACTTCTAAGTCACTAAGCGAACGGTTGTAAGTCGAGGACTACCTGTACTTTATCACTTTTTTCTTTCTTTTTTTTTTGATCATCAAGTTTTTGACAGCTTGCTAGGCGACTGGTGGTCCTCGGATGTTGCCATATCCTAAAAGTGGTACAATGGGTGGAAAGGTTGAAAAGCCCTGTTCTAGTCCATCCCCCTGGACTAGAAATCCTATCCATGTCATATTATTTTTTCCACTCAAGTCTGATTTCATTCCGTGGATTTTATTCGTGTCGATTCAATTCAACGCCCTTGTTCGGGTTTCTCACACCACCCGTCTCCCCTGCGAGGGACACTCCGGGCGGGAAGAATTTGCCCTGGGGAAAATTTCCAAATTTCAAAAGACTTAACAAGCGGAGCCCGGTGTTTCCGTTGCTAAGCGAGACCGTTCTTAAGTGAGGTTCGACCTCCCCCCCTTTCACGACCACAGCTTTTCAGGGGATCCCTGCGGTTGTTAAGGGAGTAACCCGGCTGTTAAGTGGATCTCTCTTCCCCGTTGACTGGCTTGTTAGAAACGGTGACCGCATGAGCCCGGGGACACTGCAGCCGTCATAAGTACAAGTCAGTTGCCAAGCGCCTGAATTTTGATCGTTGACCACGGGGGGGGGGGAGAATGCAGCAACGATCGTAAGTCGCAAGTCACTTTTTCAGTGTCGTAACTCCGGTCACTGAACAAATTGTACGTCGAGGAACGTTGTGGGAAACAACTACAGGAAGGGGAAACGGGGAAGACTCACCTCCCGATTTTGTTCAGATTCAGAAAGCCTTGGTCTCCAAGTGTGGGGTCCCGGGGGGGGGGCTTTGGGGATGGGATTTGGGGTCTGGTTCCCCCTACCCCACCCAAAATGTCCTGTTATGGTTCCGGCTAATGAAACACTTCAAAGAACTTCCAGGCATTTATTTTCCTAAAAGTCTTTTATTGTTACAAAATGTCGGCACAGGCACAACGGAGGGATGCTAGGATCTAAGTTCTCTTCCTCTGAGCAGTTCAATTATCAGCATGTTCCCTCCCTAAATTAGCCGTCATATCTCACATTATCCAATTAGTGTGAAGGTCAAAGGTTTTCTTCCTCTTTCTTTCCCCGGCTTTACCCCCAACCCCCCTTCTGCTCTGTATTAACCAGACAGTTCTGCACATTGTCAAAAGCAAGAATATACAATATTTGCAGCGTTGACACGTCCCTCTTTGCAGCTGAAGTTCCTGAAAGGGCTGGTCTCCAGGATGCTGGAAGGTCTGAACGAGGCCGACGAGAAGACGGTGAGAGACATCCTCAAAACGCTGCCGAAGGTCCTGAGTTACCACCGCTTGAGACTTTACGTGGGGTCCGTCTGCCTCCACATTGCGGAGAAACTCCCACCTTTCCTGGAGGACGTAAGGCAGGAGGGAGACAAGGGTGTGTGGAGGGAATGGGGGGGCTGGAGGGGAAAAAACCTCAGTTGTTAATTGAGACACTTCTCAAGTGAGCTTCCCCCCAATTTACCCCCGTTGCTGAGTACGTCGCTGCTGCAGGTCAGTTAGTAACATGGTTGTAAAATGAATCCGGCTTCCCCATTGACGTGGCTGGTCAGGAGGTCGCAAAAAGGGATCACGTGACCCCTCTGGGACGCTGCGACCGTCGTAAAGATGAACTGGTCACCAAGCAGCCAAACCTGGATCCCGCGTGACGTCGTGAGTGTGAGAACCGGGCTGAAGTCATTTTTTTTCACTGCCGTTGTTGTAATATCGGTCACTCTCCCACCTAGCAGTTCCTCATTGTAATTTCTAGATGAGGACAGGCAGCCCTTGACTTACAACAGCTCACTTAGTGACTGAAAAAAGGGACTTTTTAAGTTTTTCACACTTAATGACTTTTGCAAGCATCCCCAGGGCTGTTGATCACAATGCAGACAGCGGCATTTGGAGATTCTCTGCTATCCAGGTCCTGGTTTGTCCCAAAGGTCCTTTTTTTTTCAGGAGGAAACTGGACTTTTCTTGTTTTTTCTTTGAAGACGTTTCGCTTCTTCTCCCAGAAGCTTCTTCAGCTCTGACTGGATGGTGGGGAATGGAAGGAGTTATGTTCCTTGCGGACAGCTGGTGCTGCACAGCCAAGCTGAAACTAAATAATAATAGTAAAGTTGGAAGGTACCTTGGAGATAATAGTAATAGTAGTAAAGTTGGAAGGGACCTTGGAGGTCATCTAGTCCAACCCCCGGCTCAGGCAGGAAACCCTACACCATTTCAGAAAAATGGCTGTCCAGTCTCTTCTTAAAAACTTCCAGTGTTGGAGCATTCACCACTTCTGGAGGCAGGCTGTTCCACTGATTAATTGTTCTCACTGTCAGGAAGTTTCTCCTTAGTTCTAGGTTGCTTCTCTCCTTGATTAGTTTCCACCCGTTGCTTCTTGTCCTGCCTTCAGGTGCTTTGGAAAATAGCTTATTCCCTCTTCTTTATGGCAGCCCCTGAGATATTGGAATACTGCTATCATGTCCCCCCCTTGTCCTTCTCTTCATTAAACTAGACATACCCAATTCTAGCAACCGTTCCTTATATGTTTTATCCTCCAGTCCCCTAATCATCTTTGTTGCTCTTCTCTGTACTCTTTCTAGAATCTCAACATCTTTTTTACATCGTGGTGACCAAAACTGGATGCAGTATTCCAGGTGTGGCCTTACCAAGGCATTGAAGAGTGGTATTAATACTTCACGTAATCTTGATTCTATCCCTCTGTTAATGCAAGCTAGCACTGTGTTGGCCTTTTTGGCAGCTGCAGCACACTGCTGGCTCATATTTAGGTGTCTTCTGGAGTGTTGGCTATTCCTGCCAGTTTGGTGTCGTCCGCAGATTGGATGAGTTCCCCATCTATTCCCTCGTCCAAACCGTTGATATAGATGTTGAAGAGCACTGGGCCCAGAACAGAGCCCTGGGGCACCCCACTACACACTTCCCTCCATGTAGATGTGGTTCCATTGAGGACCACTCGCTGAGTACAGCCAGTCAGCCAGCTACGGATCCACCTGGTGGTGGTACTTTCTACCCCACATTTTTCTATCTTATCAAGTAGTAGGTTGTGATCTACTTTATCAAATGCCTTACTGAAGTCCAAGTAAATTATGTCCACAGCATTCCTCTGATCCACTAATTTTGTCACTTGGTCAAAGAATGCAATAAGATTTGTCTGATCTGTTTTTGACAAACCCATGTTGGCTTTTAGTAATGACTTTGTTTGCCTCTAGGTGTTCGTTGATTCGTTGTTTGATTATCTTTTCCAGGATCTTCCCAGGTATTGAGGTCAGGCTGATAGGTCTGTAATTTCCTGGGTCCTTTCCCCCCCCCTTTTTTTTGAAGATGGGAACTACATCAGCTCTTTTCCAGTCCTCTGGTAGTTCCCCAGTGCTCCAGGATCTTTGAAAAATATAGTTCAGTGGTTCTGAGATCACATCTGCCAGTTCCTTAAGAACCTTGGGGTGTAATCCATCTGGTCCTGGTGATTTGAACTCGTCTAGGCTGGACAGGTGCTCACTTACCATTTTCTTGCCTATCTTAACTTGTGTTTCTATTCTGTTTTTTATGGCACTATTTTTGATAGGTTGGTCTGTTTTTTCCCTTTGTGTAAAGACAGATGCAAAAAACGAATTAAATAGTTCTGCTTTCTCCCTGTTGCTTGTCACCTCTTTGCCACTTTCACCCACTAATATACCAATCGTTTCCTTCACTTTTTTCTTGTGGTTTGTCACACAATCAGCCAGATGCTCAGACTGGACTGGGCAGTTTCATCTGTAGAATAGAGTAGAATAGAATAGAATAGAATAGAATAGAATAGAATAGAATGGAATGGAATGGAATGGAATGGAGTGGAGTGGAGTGGAGTGGAGTGGAATGGAATGGAATGGAATGGAATAGAACAGAATAGAATAGAATAGGACAGGATAGGACAGGACAGGACAGAATAGAAAATATGGAATGGAATGGAATGGAATAGAATAGAATAGAATAGAATAGAATAGAATAGAATAGAAAATATGGAGTGGAGTTGAATGGGAGAATGGAATGGAATGGAATAGAATAGAATAGGACAGGACAGGACAGGACAGGACAGGACAGAACAGAACAGAATAGAATAGAAAATATGGAATGGAATGGAATGGAATGAAATAGAACAGAACAGAACAGAATAGAATAGAATAGGACAGGATAGGACAGGACAGGACAGAATAGAAAATATGGAATGGAATGGAATGGAATAGAACAGAATAGAATAGAATAGGACAGGATAGGACAGGACAGGACAGAATAGAAAATATGGAATGGAATGGAATGGAATGGAATAGAATAGAATAGAATAGAATAGAATAGAAAATATGGAGTGGAGTTGAATGGGAGAATGGAATGGAATGGAATAGAATAGAATAGGACAGGACAGGACAGGACAGAACAGAATAGAATAGAAAATATGGAATGGAATGGAATGGAATAGAATAGAATAGAATAGAAAATATGGAGTGGAGTTGAATGGGAGAATGGAATGGAATGGAATAGAATAGAATAGGACAGGACAGGACAGGACAGAACAGAATAGAATAGAAAATATGGAATAGAATAGAATAGAATAGAATAGAATAGAATAGAATAGAATAGAATAGAATAGGAGCTGGAAGGGACCTTGGAGGTCTTCTAGTCCAACCCCCTGCTCAAGCAGGAGAACCTATCCTACCGTCTCAGGCAAGCGGGATGGTTGATTTTATTTGTTACTTATTTTATCTTTTTTATTTTTAAAAATAAGTCTCTCCCCCCCCCCCCGTCCCCGCCCTGGGCTTATCCTCCGGAGACGGTGCCCCTCTGCCCGCCCGGTGCCCAACCCAGCCTTCTCCTCCTCCTGTCCAGGAACGAGAGCCTGAGCGCTCTCTGGCCGTTCACCTGTTTGGGGAGCTGCTGCCGTGCGTGAACCGTCAGCACAAAGCTCAGATGCGGGAGCGAATCCTGGCCCACTCGGTACCCTTTCTCCTCCGCCTGCAGGACAACAGCCAGCCAGCGGCCGATGTGAGAGGTTCCCGGAGGGGCTGTTGCAAACTCAGTGGGGCAGAATTCCGCCTTGACCTCGGACCCTGGCCTTGCTCCACGAGATCGTGGGGGTGGGGGTGGGGGCCACTTGGAGTGGGGGACATTACTTCCCTCGGATGCCCCTCCCCCGATTCTGTACCTCTTTAACCACCCATCTATTCTATTCTATTCTATTCTATTCTATTCTATTCTATTCTATTCTATTTTATTCTATTCTATTCTATTTTATTCTATTTTATTCTATTCTATTCTATTTCATTCCATATTTTCTATTCTATTCTATTCTATTCTATTCTATTCTATTCTATTCTATTCTATTCTATTCTATTTCATTCCATATTTTCTATTCTATTCTATTCTATTCTATTCTATTCTATTCTATTCTATTCTATTCTATTCTATTCTATTTCATTCCATATTTTCTATTCTATTCTATTCTATTCTATTCTATTCTATTCTATTCTATTCTATTCTATTCTATTCTATTCAGGACATCTGGGTTGCCCACCTGGCCTGAGACACCCCCCCCCCGTTGTCCCTCTTGTCCCTGGCACAGACTTACAAGAGGACCTTGACCCGTTGCAGTGACTTACTAGGCTGGAATCTCCGGCTGGACATTATGACCTTGGCCTCTTACGACTGCCACCAAGCCCTGGATAAAATCTGCAAAAGCCTGGTAGGTGGGGGATGGAGAAGGTGTTTCCCCCCCCCATTGACAAAATCCCCCTGGGACAGTGATGGCGAACCTTTTTTAGAGACCCGGTGCCCAAACTGCAACCCCAAACCCACTTATTTATCACCGGATGGCCGTGGTGGTCATGGCAGACTGGGTGGGAGGGGCCAGAGTGGCAGGGGCCAGTCCCTCACCATCTCCGGGGCACAGCGTGCGTGCCCATAGAAAGGGCTCTGAGTGCCACCTCCGGCACACGTGCCATAGGTTTGCCACCACTGCCCTGGGATCCGCCAGCTGGTTGCAACACCGTCTGGGAATGGGCCGTCATTTGGTGCCCATAGATGCCCTCGAACGGGACAGGGATGAGACGAGTGACAAGGGAACGGTCGTAAAATGAAACGCTGGCTCCTTTAATTCAGATCCGGTGTCTCCTCCCTTGGTATTCCACATTTGGAATATACGGCATCCAGTTTTGGTCACCACATGACGAAAAGGAGGCTGAGGCTTTGGAAAAAGTGCAGAGAAGAGCAACTAAGATGATCAAAGGCCTGGAGACTAAAACATTTGAAGAACGGCTGCGGGATTTGGGTATGGCCAGTCTAGAGAAAAAAAGGAGTAGGGGGTACATGATAGCAGTCTTCCAGTATTTGAGGAGCTGCCCCAAAGAAGAGGAGGGGGGGTTCAAATTGTTCTCCAAAGGACCAGAAGGCCGGACAAGAAACAATGGATGGAAAACAGATCAAGGAGAGAAGCAACCTGGAACTAGGGAGAACTTTTCCTAACAGGGAAGACAATTAAGCAGTGGAACAGCTTGCCACCAGGAGTTGTGGGTGCTCCAGCACTGGAGGATGTTAAGAAGAGATTGGGCAGCCATTTGTCTCAAATTGTAGGGCGTCTCCCGCTTGAGCAGGGGGTTGGACTAGATGACCTCCAAGGTCCCTTCCAAGCTCTATTCTCAATCGTCTGCTTTCCTTGCATTGCCGTCCCAAGGCGGACGGCACCGTTGATCCCCCCTCCAAAGGACGGGTGTCCCTCTTCTTCGCCAGGGGTCTGCCCCACTCCTGGCTACCCCCTTACAAACGCTTCTCTCTCTCTCTCTCTCTCTCTCTCTCTCTCACACACACACACACACACACACACTGTTCTTCCTTTGCAAAGAGGTTCAGGGACCCCCCCCTTTCTCTCTCCAGGTTCAATGGTACCCCAAAAAGACTCCAGTTTTCCTGACTTGTACTCTGGATTATCTGAACAGCTCCGAAGCCCCCCTGCGCAGGGCGGCCGGCGTCTTTGCAGGTGAAAAGGGATGGGGGGGGTGTCCATCTGGTGGGAAGGGGGGACCCCTCCCAGCTTCATCCTGGACAGGCATTCTGCCCCCCCCCCACCAATTCTCCACGGGATGCTGTGCCGAGGCCCAGCTATCTCCCCAGCCACGCCGAGGCCCGCTTCCGCATGTCCAGGTGGTCCTCCACTTAGCGACAATGGGTTTAGTGACCGTTCATAGCGAGAACAGCCCTGAACAAAGTGACCGATGACCTTACGGCCGCTGCGGCCTTCCCAATACAGGGAGTTCTCGTCTTACGACCAGAATTGAGCCTAGACTTTATGTTGCTAAGCGAGACAGTTCTTAAGTTTTGCTCTGTTTTACGACCTTTCTTGCATTAATTGTTACATGATGCACTGAAGTTGTTAAGGCAGTAAGACGGGTGTTCAGTGAATCCGGTGTCGCAAAAGGGGATCCCATAACCCGGGGACATGGCCACCGTCATAAATTAACAATTAACCAGTGGAACTACCTGCCTCCAGAAGTGGTGAATGCTCCAAAGCTGGAAGTTTTTAAGAAGAGACTGGACAGCCATTTGTCTGCAATGGTATAGGGTTTCCTGCCTGAGCAGGACTCATGGACTTCAACTCCCAGGATTCCTAAGCCAGCATGGGGGAACTATGGCCCCCTGATGACTCATAAACTTCAACTCCCAGAATTCCTCAGCCAGCATGGGGAAAATATGCCCCCCTTTAGGACTCGTGGACTTCAACTCCCAGAATTCCTGAGCCAGCATGGGGGAACCATAGGCCCTTCATGACTTGTGGACTTCAACTCCCAGAATTCCTGAGCCAGCCATGCTGAGGGGAAAGGGAGAGGTTTCCAAGCTGAGCCCTGGTGGCTCAGGAATTCTGGGAGTTGAAGTCCACAAGTCATGAAGGGGGCCATAGTTCCCCCATGCTGGCTCAGGAATTCTGGGAGTTGAAGTCCACCAGTTATAAAAGAGCCAAGGTTGCCTACCCCTGTCCTGGACGGTCAGGGTGCACAGGCACTCCTCGACCTACGACGGTTCATTTACCGTTCAAAGTTACAACGGCGCTGAAAAAAGTGACCATTTTTCACACCTAAGAACGTTCCAGCATCTCTGTGGTCAGACGATTGCAATTTAGCTGCTTGGCCACTGACTCATATTTATGACGGTTGCCCGGTCCTGGGGGTGTGGGTCAGGTGATCCCTTTTGTGACCTTTTGACAAAGCAAAGTGAATGGGGGAAGCCTGATTCACTTAACAACGCTGTGACTAAGTGAACCACTGCGCTGATTCACTTAAGGACTAAGGCAAGGAAGGCCGTAAAATGGGGTAAAACTCCCTTAACAAATGTCTCGCTTAGCAACGGAAATGTTGTCATGGTAACTCGGGGATGACCTGCTTTCTGGCTGGGCAGATCCCAACCGATCCTGGGCAGATCCCGCCAGCCAGGCAAGGGGTGGTGCAGCCTACGTGCTGTACCCGCCAGGAAGTGGTGGGGATCCGGTTGAATTCGATGGCCGATGAAAGAGTCCAAGCCGGCACCGGATGCGAATTCTGTGCTTTCCTGTCTGCACAGGATTCCTTGCCTTTTACATGGATCCCTGGCAGCTGAACCAGGAAGCCCTGATCGCCCTTCAGCGGGGTAAGCCAAAGGCACTGTAATATACCGGGCAGCCTTTCCCAAAAGCGGGCGATGGTGGTCCTCAGGGGATGGTCAAGAAAGCCAGAATTGGGCCGCGTCCGGGGGGAGACACCCCGGCAAGCAGTTGGGGGGGAAGCCCCGTGCGTGCCCAAGTCCACCGTCAGGGGTTCCAGGCATCGAAGCGAGTTTGATGGGGTGAGGAATAAAAATTCAATTCCACGGTTGTTGGAAAACAAAGCAAGTTTTATTTAAGTGTTTGCAAAGGCTGGTGGATCTCTTGGTAATTGCAAATGCCAGAGACCAGTCTTGAATCAAATTCAACCCTTTGTAACCTTGGCTCTTTTATGACTCGTGACTTCAACTCCCAGAATTCCTGAGCCAGCCTAGCTCAGCTTGGAAACCTCTCCCTTTCCCCTCACCGTGGCTGGTGCAGGAATTCTGGGAGTTGAAGTCCATGAGTCATAAAAGAGCCAAGGTTGCCTACCCCTGGTCTAGGAGGCTCACCGCTTACAGCAGGAGGACTTAGGATACAACCTTGGCTCTTTTATGACTGGTGGACTTCAACTCCCAGAATTCCTGAGCCAGCCATTCTGAGGGGAAAGGGAGAGGTTTCCAAGCTGAGCCATGCTGGCTCGGGAATTCTGGGAGTTGAAGTCCACGAGTCATAAAAGAGCCAAGGTTGCCTTACCACTAGCTTAGGCCTAGGGTGCTTTATGACTCATGGACTTCAACTCCCAGAATTCCTGAGCCGGCATGGCTCAGCTGGAAACCTCTCCCTTTCCCGTCAGCATGGCTGGCTCAGGAATTCTGGGAGTTGAAGTCCACCAGTCATAAAAGAGCCAAGGTTGCCTACCCCTGCCCCATCCTGTAGAATTAGGCCACATCCTTCTTCTTCAAACCCAGTGGATAGCTCTGGATTAGTCCCAAGCTTCCCAACTGCCTAGCAACCAGACCCCCCCCCAATTATTAGATAAAAAGCCCCTCTTGTTCTGTCTTATCTCTCCTCCCTTGTCTGTGGCATGATTTGTAACATCCTGCTAACTCAGGGTGTAGCTTCTCTACAAGATGAGCTTGTCAACCTAAACTGGATAATTGCAATTAAAAAGGATTTATGTCGTCCCTTGTTTACCTATAACAGGGGTCTTCAAACTTGGCCCTTTGATGAGTGGTGGACTTCAACTCCCAGAATTCCTCAGCCAGCATGGGGAACCTTGGCCCTTTGATGACTGGTGGACTTCAACTCCCAGAATTCCTCAGCCAGGATGCTTGAAGACAGGGGTCTTCAAATTCGGCCCTTTGATGACTGGTGGACTTCAACTCCCAGAATTCCTCAGCCAGAATGCTTTAAGACAGGGGTCTTCAAACTTGGCCCTTTGATGACTGGTGGACTTCAACTCCCAGAATTCCTCAGCCAGCATGGGGAACCTTGGCCCTTTGATGACTGGTGGACTTCAACTCCCAGAATTCCTCAGCCAGGATGCTTGAAGACAGGGGTCTTCAAACTTGGCCCTTTGATGACTGGTGGACTTCAACTCCCAGAATTCCTCAGCCAGCATGGGGAACCTTGGCCCTTTGATGACTGGTGGACTTCAACTCCCAGAATTCCTCAGCCAGGATGCTTGAAGACAGGGGTCTTCAAACTTGGCCCTTTGATGACTTGGGGACTTCAACTCCCAGAATTCCTCAGCCAGGCACGAGTGCCTGGCTGAGGAATTCTGGGAATTGAAGTCCACAAGTCATCAAAGGGCCAAGTTTGAAGACCCCTACTTAAATCAAGAAATACCTGTATTTATTTACTTCATTTATATGCCGCTCCTTTCTGGAAGTGCCTCTGGCTGGCTGACAGTATCATAAAAACCTACATATAAAAACACTTAAACTTAAAAAGTTAAATATCTTGAGGATCTATCTAAATGTCTTACTTAATTTAATATGCAACACCAGTGTTATCGGCGTCACTTTTTTAATCCAGGAAATTAGAATACACAGGAGGGTTTATAACTTTGATTGTTTAATCCCTGTTTGTAAGCATCATTGGCTGGGGGATGCTGGGTACTGAAGTCCACCCATCTTGAAGCAGACTGGCTGGGGGATGCTGGGTACTGAAGTCCACCCATCTTGAAGCAGGCTGGCTGAGGGATGCTGGAAGTTGAAGTCCTGCCATCATGAAGCAGGCTGGCTGGGGGATTCTGGGAGTTGAAGTCCAGCCATCTTGAAGCAGGCTGGCTGGGGGATTCTGGGAGTTGAAGTCCAGCCATCTTGAAGCAGGCTGGCTGGGGGATTCTGGGAGTTGAAGTCCAGCCATCTTGAAGCAGGCTGGCTGGGGGATTCTGGGAGTTGAAGTCCAGCCATCTTGAAGCAGGCTGGCTAGGGAATGCTGGGAGTTGAAATCCACCCATCTTGAAGCAGGCTGGCTGGAGGATGCTGGGAGTTGAAGTCCAGCCATCTTGAAGCAGGCTGGCTGGGGGATGCTGGGACTTGAAATCCACCCATCTTGAAGCAGGCTGGCTGGGGAATGCTGGGAGCTGAAGTCTTTTGTGTCTTGATTCTAGGCCTGGATTGCCTGCTGACCGATCCGGAACCCTCCGTGGCCCAGGTGGCCTCCATCTCCATCCTGCAGGTGAAGGAGATCCGTCGGAGACTTTTGCCCGTCCCCTCTGCCCTGGCATGGATGCTTTGCTGCATAAAGTCCGGGGAGAAGGAGAAGCCACAGTTTGAAAGAAGCCCCTTTAAGAGGAAGAGGAGTCCCGAGGCCTTCCTCAGCATCCCCCAGTGTTCCCCTTAAAGAAGCCGGCGGGCTGGCCGGAGGCTGCTTAAGGCTCCCAGAGTTGCCTTCATTTGGGGGACATTGTGTTGTTGTGTGATCCCGGACGTCGCAATGTTTTGCTTTTTATTCGCTGCCACGTTTAATAAACCAGCTCCCCACCGCTGCTCGGCGTGGGGCAGCCTCCAAGTCTGAGGAAACAAGCCAACATTGCGTTTCATGCGTCCCCTTCCATTTGTGTCCTAAGTCGGTTTGTTCTTTCCTGCAGGGTGTGTCCTTGATTGTAAGCTGCCCAGAGTCGTGTCTGTGTGTGTGCAGGTACGCCTCGACTTACAACAGTTCATTTAGTAGCCGTTCAAAGTCGCAATGACACTGAAAAAAAGCAACTTGGCATCTTTTTTCACACTTGCGACCGTTGCAGCATCCCTATGGTCACATGGCATGTGCTTACGACGGTTGCAATATCCTGCGATCACGTGATCTCCTTTTGCGACTTTCCGCCGAGCAAAGTCAATGGGAGAAATCTGATTCGTTTAACAACTGAGTTAATGACTTAACAACTGTGGTGATTTACTTAACAACAAGGTCGGAGAACCGGGCAAAGCTCAGTTAACCAAGACCTCACTGAGAAACATAAATGATGGGCTCAGTTGTAGACGCACGTCGAGGACAACCTTTGATGGGACTCTGTCTGGTTGGACTGCCGACAAAATCCCAGACTGTGGTTTTCAACGCCTCCTAATTTTGAGGAAGGTTGAAATGGTTTTCCGTCGCGTTCTGTACGTTTCCATTATTCTCTACGTTTGATAGGAGCTATCATTGCGGTTTTAATATTTAAAGGAAAACAGAGAATGGGAGAGCCGTTTATTATCTCTTTTCCTAAGTGGATAATGAGCCGCGGTGGCGCTGCAGTTAGAGTGCAGTCCTGCAGGCCACTTTAGCTGACTGTGTTCAGCAGGTCAGCGATTCAAATCTCACCGGCTCAAGGTTGACTCAGCCTTCCATCCTTCCGGGGTAGGTAAAATGAGGACCCAGATTGTTGGGGGCAATGTAAATATATATATATATATATATACATTGCTTACTGGTGTACACCGCTTAGAGAGTGCTTGCACTCAAAGCGGTATATAAGTCTCATAAATAAATAAAATAAATAAATAAATAAATCCCACTTCCGGCCTGCCAACATGTATTAGGAGAGTTGAAAGTATATGATTATCCTCCGCTTTTTAATATGGCAAAATTGTGAGTGTGGTGAAATTTTGTGATTAAAACATACGAGGAATGGTTGCAGGAATTGGGGATGGCCAGTCTAGAGAAAAGAAGGCCTGGGGGGGGGACATGATAACAATATTCCAGTATTTGAGGGGCTGCCACAAAGAAAAGGGGGTCAATTTATTTTTGAAAGCACCACAAGGAAGGACAAGAAACAATGGATGGAAACTAACCAAGGGGAGAAGCAACCTGGAATTAAGGAGGAATTTCCTAACAGTGAGGACAATTAACCAGTGGAACAACCTGCCTCCAGAAGCGGTGGATGCTCCAACACTGGAAGTTTTTAAGAAGAGACTGGACAACCATTTGTCCGAAATGGTATAGGGTTTCCTGCCTGAGCAGGGGGTTGGACTAGATGACCTCCAAGGTCCCTTCCAACTCTATTATTATTATATTATATTATTCTCCAAAGCACCAAAGGGCAAGACATGGCACAACGGAGAGAAACCAATCAAGGAGAGAAGCAACCTGGAGTTAAGGAGAAACTTCCTAACAGTGAGGACAATTCACCACTGGAACAGCTTGCCACCAGAAATTGTGTGTGTGTGCCAACACTGGAGGTTTTTCAGAAGAGACTGGACAGTCACTTGTCTGAAATGTTATAGGGTCAGCTTGAGCAGGGGGCTGGACTAGAAGTCCTCCAAGGTCCCTTCCAGCTCTGTTCTGATTCTGATCTCTGAAAAGGTCCCATTGCAGAAGGTGACGAGTGAGGTGTCCAGGGCTGATTTGAGATGGCCCAGATGGGCACCAAGGTGGGCCTGCAAAGGGTAGGGGAAAACTTTTCCCTTTCCAGGTTTTGTGCAATCTGCTGGCTCAGTTCTTGTGGAGCTGTGCAGTTTTGCTGCACTCAGCTATTTCTGCTAAACCACCAGGAGCCCCCTCCCGTCTCCCCCCACTCCCAGGCGACTCCGGTTTCCAATGTGTCAGTGAGTTAATTGGGGTCCTAGTGCCGCGTTCATTAAAAGGAGGAACGTGCTGCTTCTTGGGGGCTGAAAGAGTTTAACAGTCCTAAACAAGCTTTCTTGGGGAGAGGAGGGGGCGTTGCGATTGCACGCCAAGGGGGTGTTCAAAGACTCCACTCGCTTTTGCAAAGGGGGGGGTGTCACCCCTCCTCGTTTATTTTTATTTATTTACTAAATTTAAATGTATTCCATTTGCACGATGCCAGTCAGATTTGCAGTTGACTCGCTTTTGCAAAGGGTGAGCCTCTCATTCATTTTACAGGTGGTCCTCGATTTACGACAGGGGTCTTCCAACATGGCCCTTTGATGACTTGTGGACTTCAACTCCCAGAATTCCTCAGCCAGGATGCTTGAAGACAGGGCTCTTCAAACTTGGCCCTTGGATGACTTGGGGACTTCAATTCCCAGAATTCCTCAGTCAGGCACGTGTGCCTGGCTGAGGGATTCTGGGAGTTGAAGTCCACAAGTCATGAAAGGGTCATAATTCCCTCACACTGGTTGAGGAATTCTGGGAGTTGAAGTCCTCAAGTCATAAAAGGGTCATAGTTCCCTCACACTGGCTGAGGAATTCTGGGAGTTGAAGTCCACAAAATCATAAAAGAGCCAAGTTTGAAGACCCCTGATTTACGTCCACAGTTGAGCCCCAAAATTTCTCTTGCTAAGTGAGACAGTTGTTCAGCGAGCTTTGCCCCATTTTACGACCTTTGTTGCCACGGTTGTTAAGTGAATCACTGCTGTTGTTAAGTTAGCTACACGGCGATTGATTCCCGCGGTATCCCCTTTTGCAACCTTCTGGGAAGCAAAGTCCGTTAACCTGTGGTCGTAAAATGGGGCAAAATTCACTTAAATTACTGTCTCAGTCACAGAAATTTTGGGCTTAATTGCGGTCGTTATGTCGAGGAATTACCTGTCTAGGGTTTCCTGCTTGAGCAGGGGGATGGACTAGAAGACCTCCAAGGTCCCAATGTCAACATTCCGTTAAATGAAAGTAGCGAGTTTTGTTAATATGCCAGTCATTGCTGCCGTCCTGGGGGCGGCGGGGGCAGGAAGGGGAGCTTAACTCCCTCCTTTCCATCCAGAAAGCCACTCTCCGCTCTGAGCCACGATGCCGGGCATTGGAGCCTCCATAGCCAGAGGCAGTCTACCAGGGAGAAGCACCCTCACTCCGGGTGGAAGCGAGCAGGAAGGCCGGCGTGCCAGGGTTAAGCCCCTCAAATCCCTCCCCCTGCTAGGAAGGCAGGGCTGGGCGGCCTCGCAGGGGTGGGGAGAGGATGGAATCCATCGTCCTAGGCCAGGGGGGGGTCTTCCAACTTGGCCCTTTGATGACTTGTGGACTCCAACTCCCAGAATTCCTCAGCCATGATGCTTTAAGATAGGGGTCTTCCAACTTGGCCCTTTGATAGTGGTGGACTTCAACTCCCAGAATTCCTCAGCCAGGATGCTTTAAGACAGGGGTCTTCCAACTTGGCCCTTGGATGACTTGTGGACTTCAACTCCCAGAATCCCTCAGCCAGCCAGTCATATTAAAAGGGCCAAGTTGGGAGACCTCCGGCCTAGGCCTTGCGGGGCTGCGTCCCCCCCCCGCTTGCGTTCCCCTTCGCCGCAGAGCCGGAAGTGGCCGGTCGCCGCGGGCCCCGCTCGTGCTCGCCCTCTAGAGGCCGCGACGCGTAAAAAAGGGCCCGTCGCGCGGCGATGGCGTCACAGGGGCGCCGGCGGCGGTTGGAGGCTCGGATGGAGCCCGAGCAGGAGCGGCTGAGGCGGCAGATTCGCCTGCTTCAAGGTGGGCGTCCCCGGGGTCTGTGGGGGCGCTGGGGGTGATGGGAACTGTAGTCGGGCCGCGGAAGGAGAGGCCCAGCCTGAGGGGCCCGGAGGAAAGCCGGGGAGGGAGCAGGCCGGCCTCCTTCCCTTCTCAGGCCGGGCCGGGGAGCCTTTCCAGAGACGGGCCCACCAGAAAGCCGGCCAGAGCAGGCCCTGCTCCAAACCCTTCGGTTGGCGGGGGCGCGGGGGGGAGACGGAGACTGTCACCCTCTTCCCTGAGGGTGTAAGTGGACGGGGGATGGATTGGATGGCCTCTGAGGAGCCCTCCGGCCCAACACTGCTGCTAAACCAGGAATCCCCAGGTTTGGCAACTTTACGACCTGTGGACTTCAACTCCCAGAATTCCCAAGGCAGCTTTGAAGTCCACCTGTCTTAAAGTAGCCGAGGCTGGCAGGGAATTCTGGGAGTTGAAGTCCAGCTGTCTTAAAATAGCCGAGGTTGGCTGGGGAATTCTGGGAGTTGAAGTCCAGCCGTCTCAAAATAGCTGAGTTTGGGGACCCCTATGCTAGAGGGAGAAGGTTTGCTCATTGGAAACAGAGAGGTCTCCCCCGAGGTCTTAGTTTTTGTCCCGGGTGCTGAACTGTTGAACGCTACTGTTACGATTCAAAATGCTTGTAGCCACTTTACTGCATGGTTGAGAGGCAGTTTGGTCTAGTGGTGAAGCCCTCGGGAGACAAACCTCAGTTTGACAGGGAGCTCTAGTCCTGCCTTAGCTACGAAAGCTGGCTGGGTGACTTTGGGCCAATCACCAGGAGATGGTGAGTTCTAGTCCCGCCTTAAGCATGAAAGCCAGCTGGGTGACTTTGAGTCAATCACCAGGAGATGGTGAGTTCTAATGCTGCCTTAGGTAGGAAAGCTGGCTGGGTGACTTTGGGCCAATCACCAGGAGACAGTGAGTTTTAATCTTGGCTTAGGTAGGAAAGCTGGCTGGGTGACTTGGGGCCAGCCATCCTCTCTCAACCCTCAATGTCAGGCTGAGGCGACAAGCCGGCCGGTCAGTTCCTGTTGCAACCAAGTGAATCAACATTTGGTTGATTCAGAGAAATGCAGACACTTCACTTGCAGAAGAAATGCTAGAAGGGGGAATCTATCTATCTATCTATCTATCTATCTATCTATCTATCTATCTATCTATCTATCTATCTATCTTTATGTTTTTGAGTCTCTGTTCATGCCTGGTTACTCCCAGGACTAATCTCTGCATTTTGCTTGGTAAGATTTTCAGGAGCTGCTTGACCTGTCCTCCTTTATCAGGTAAAAATGAGGAGGACTGGCCCAAGGTTATCCAGCTGAGTTTGTCAGATTAGAACTCGCAGCCTGCTGCCTTGCCTGCTTCTCTGAGCTGGCTTCCAGCACCTTTACACACAGAGACAGACACAATCCTGGAATCTTTATCTTGGGCTTCTAAATCTTAGGATCCAGTGACTCCATGAGTCAATAAATACAGGAGAACAATCATTTGGGACCTCTCCAGTGGTCCTTATATGTTTGTTGGGTGTTATCACATACAGGTATCCTTGACCTACGACCACAGTTGAGCCCAAAATTTCTTCTGCTAAGCGAGACAGTTAGCTGAGTTTTGCCTTGTTTTAGTCCAGGGGTCTTCCAACTTTGATGAAAGTCAGCCCTTTGATGACTTGTGGACTTCAACTCCCAGAATTCCTCAGCCAGACATGTAAAAAAGATGTTGAGACTCTAGAAAGAGTACAGACAAGAGCAACAAAGATGATCAGGGGACTGGAGGCTAAAACATACAAGGAATTGGGTATGTCCAGTTTAATGAAGAGAAGGACGAGGGGGGACATGATAGCAGTCTTCCAGTATCTCAGGGGCTGTCCCAAAGAAGAGGGAGTCAAGCTATTCTCCAAAGCGCCTGAGGGCAGGACAAGAAGCAACGGATGGAAACTCATCAAGGACAGAAGCAACCTAGAATTAAGCAGAAACTTCCTGACAGAACAATTAACCAGTGGAACAACCTGCCTCCAGAAGTGGTGAATGCTCCAACACTGGAGGTTTTTAAGAAGAGACTGGACAGCCATTGGTCTGAAATGGTCTAGGGTTTCCTGCCTGAGGAGAGGGTTGGACTAGATGACCTGTAAGGTCCCTTCCAACTTTATTATTATTATATTTGAAGAGTATCCTTCTCTTTGGTCAATAACAGGACAATCTCTGCCCATTCCCAGCAATCACAGAAATAGATTTTTTTGCCCCTTCACCCAGGATGATTTGTTGCTAACATGCTCCTCCAGACCTCCACTCTTCACCACTGAACACACCCACAAGGATAGGGGGAAGACTAAACACAGCTGTGTTTTTAAGCTGGCCTTGGAAGGTTACCAACCAGGTCTTTTCGCTCCTTTCAGGAGAGATTGCTTCATCCTGACTTTATCTAATCCAGCACCCCATCCCTTGCTGGCAAATTCCACTGCTTAGTTGTCAGCCGTTACCTAAGGAAGCCAAAATCAAGGATAATCCTTAGTACCGTGTTTCCCTGAAAGTAAGTGTCAACTGGAAAATAAATCACAGCAGGATTTTTCAGGATGCTCATAATATAAGCCCCACCCCAAACAAGTTCCAGTTAAGATTGGCAGCCAGACAGATGCATTTAGTACCGTATTTCCCCCCAAAATAAGCCCCAGTTAAGATTGTCAGCCAAATAAATGCATTTAGTACTGTATTTCCCCCCAAAATAAGCCCCAGTTAAGATGATCAGTCAGATGGACGCATTTAGTACCGTATTTTCCCTGAATATAAGCCCTAACCCGAAAATAAAGCCCTAATGCGTCTTTTGGAGCAAAAAATAGTATAAGACCCGGTCTTATTTCCAGGGAAACACGGTAAATGCTTAACCAGATGACACAGCTGGATGTTTCCTTCTCCAAGCACGACTGCAAAGAATATTCAGGCTGTTCATGGTCTTTTTATTTTAAAATATCTCCCACTTTTCAGTTGTCCACAGGAAGAGCCACAGATAAAGTTTTAGACTATCAACTTCTAACTGCAGGTAGTTCTTGATTTGCATCCATAATGGACTCACCATTCCGGATTCTCCTCAACCGACAGCCATTTGTTTAGTCACCGTTCAGAGTTAACAATGGCCCTAAAAAAAAAGTGACCTGACTGTTTTTCATGCTTACGACTGTTGCAGCATCGCCCATGATCAAAAATCACAGGATCAAAATTCAGACGATTGGCAACTGACTCGTATTTATGATGGGTCCTGTGATCCCCTTTTGTGATTTTCTGACAAGTCAAGTCCATGGGGGAGCCATGTTCACTGAACAACTGACTTAACAACTGTGGCAGGATAGGATAGGATAGGTTAGGTTAGAATGGAATGGAATGGAATAGAATAGAATAGAAAATATGGAATGGAATCAAATGGAATATGGAACAGACTAGAATAGAAAAGAAAATAGAATGGAATGAAATGGAATATAGAATAGAATAGAAAATATGGAATGGAACGAAATGGAATATGGAATGGAATAGACTAGAAAGAATAGAATAGAAAATATGGAATGAAATGGAATGGAATATGGAATGGAATAGAATAGAAAGAATAGAATGGAATAGAATAGAATAGAAGTAGAGCAAAATAGAATAGAATAGAAAATATGGAATGGAATGAAATGGAATATGGAATAGAGTAGAATAGAAAAGAAAATAGAGTGGAATGAAATGGAATATGGAATAGAATAGAATAAAAAATATGGAATGGAATATGGAATGGAATAGAATAGAAGTAGAGCAGAATAGAATAGAATAGAATAGGAATAGAATAGGAATAGAGCTGGAAGGGACCTTGGAGGTCTTCTAGTCCAGCCCTCTACTCAAGCAGGAGAACCTATACTATCTCAGACAGGTGAATGTTTAGTCTCTTCTTAAAAATTTCCAGTGATGGAGCGCCCACGATTTCTGGAGGCAAAAGCTGTCCCACTGGTTGATTGTCCTCACTGTTTCTCCTTAATTCCAGGTTGCTTCTCTCTGCCAACCATTGTTTCTTGTCCTGCCTTCTGGTGCTTTGGAGACTATCTTGACCCCCTCTTCTTTGTGGCAGCCCCTCAAATACTGGAACACTGCTATCCTGTCTCCCTTATTTCTTCTTTTCTTTAGACCAGCCAAACCCAAGTCTCACAGCCCTTCTTCGTATGTTTTGGTCTCCAGGCCTTGGATCACCTTAGTTCTTCTCTGAATTTTTTCTAAACTCTCAATATGTTTCTCAATATGTCGCAATCTGTTTCTTGTAACCTAAAATGTTTACGTCCATACAATGTTGTAGGGTCTCCGGCTTCAGCGGGGTGGTGGGGGTGGGGGTGGACTAGCAGACCTCCAAGGTCCCTTCCAACTCTGTTGTTCTGTCGTGCAGGCCTCATCAATGACCACAAAAACGCCCACGGGAATGCACCGGTCCCTCCTCCGCCCGCTTCGCTCTCCAGGTGGAGAAATCCTAAACTTCCCACCTTCCACAGCCAAACTACCTTCAGCGCCAGGTACGGCCAGCAGCCCTCCCGAGATTTCTCATCCGGCCCGGCCAACGCAACAACCTGGAGGAAGAAATACTCCCTTGTCAACGCGCCGCCTAGACCGGCCCTGTCTTCGGCCAGCGGCGTTTCTCCCAGTGCTTCCTGGGCTTCCCAGAGCCACGCCAGCAGGGAGGCTCCTGAGCCACAGCTGATGCTTTCGGAAGCCGCAGCGGCTGTCTCCAGCGCAAAGGCGAATGCCAGGCTGCCAGCCAGCTCCGTGGCGGGCGATGCCGCCGGCTCTGGCTTCCAGCCGGGCTTTTCAGGATCGAGAAAGGGACCGTTGGCATCTAGGGGAAAGCTGCCCACGCCTCCTTGGCCTTTAAACGCGGACCCGAGCCGGAAGAAAGAGTGGTGTGCTTCCACTCTGTCCCTCTCGCCCTGTGGCAAAACCCCGGCTACGGCTGGAAATAACCGACCGGCGGCGGGTCAGAAGAAGCCGGTGGGGAGGAGTGAGCTCGCCGCCAGCTTAGGCAGGACTATCAGCGAGAGTGCCATTGTGCTGAAATCCGAGCCTCGGCGCGCTCTGGCCTCGCCCGAGCAGGGATCGGGATCTCTCCCAATCTGGAAGAAGCCAACGCTCCAGGCTTCACCCCTGGGGGGTTCACACCGCCAGCCCTCCCCGGCCGGGACCGTCAAGCTGAGCCCCGCCAGGAGCGCGGATCTGTCTGCCGGCTGTGCCCGTTCGGGTGAGGAAGTGTCTTCCAGCACCGGGAGGAGTCTCCCCCCAAACAAGCCCGCCGTAGTTTTGGTCCAGAAGTCGTCTTCCATGCCGGCCTCCGTGCGATCCTCCCGGTTCAAGAGAGCCAACTACACCTGGGTGGCGAATCCCAGCAAGTCCCCCCGAAGCGTGAGGAGGTGGGCGGTTTCCAGGGCCTCCGAAGGCACCCCCAAGCTTGCTGCCTGTGCCCCGGCAGCGTCCCCCAAAGCCCAGTCGAGGGGAGCGAATCTGGACTTGGGGGCCAAGCCAAAGAAATCGAGCCCCCATTCAAAGCTGGCGGTTTCCGCCAGCCAGTACAAGTGGAAAGCGGCGAGTGCGAAATCTGCTCCCCCGCCTTCCACGTCCGCCTCGGTGTTCACTTGGAAGCGCAAGGAAGGGGTCGGGCCTGGCGATGCGCCCGGCGCGGGCGCCGCCAGCACGTCGCTCCAAGCTCTGAGGCGTCTCCCTCTCGGACACGGCCATCTTGCCCAGGGCAGCCCAAGAGCCTTCTTTGGAACGACCAGCTTTTTCAATTACAAGTTGAGGAGCTGGCCTAGAATCATTAAGAGGAAAGGTAGCGCCAGGTAAGTTCCTGAACCTCTTAGGGGGGTAAACATTTGTTCCAGTTGTTGCTGTTGTTTTAACTTGGATTGCTCATCCTGGTTATAAAAGTGGGAATGGAATGGAATTGGAATTAGGAATAGAATAGAATAGAATAGAATAGTTATAAATAATTATAATGGTTATAAAAGTGGGAATGGAATGGAATAGAATTACGAATTACAATTGGAATTGGAATTAGGAATAGAATAGAATAGAAAAGAAAATATGGAATGGAATGGAATAGGATAGGATAGAATATAGAATAGAACAGGATAGAAAATAGAGTAGAAAATAGAATAGAATAGAATAGAATAGAATAGGCAGGACAAGAAGCAACGGATGGAAACTGATCAAGGAGAGAAGCAACCTGGAACTAAGGAGAAACTTCCTGACAGTGAGAACAATTAACCAGTGGAACCACCTGCCTCCAGAAGTGATATATGCGCCAAGACTGGAAGTTTTTAAGAAGAGGCTGGACAGCCAATTGTCTGAAATGGTATAGGGTTTCCTTCCTGAGCAGGGGGTTGGACTAGATAACCTCCAAGGTCCCTTCCAACTTTATTATTATTATTATAGAATAAGTGTAGAGTAGAATAGAATTACAAATAGAATAGAGAATGGAATGTGTGATGAGATGGGATAGAATAGAAGTGTAGTGTAGTGTAGAGTAGAGTAGAGTAGAATTACAAAGAATAGAAAATACAGAATGGAATGTGGGATGGGATAGAATAGAATAGAATATGGAATGGAATATGTCAGAGCATGCAGTCTTACTGTGCTGAGGTAACCCAGGAGTAAATACAGTAAACAGTGGTTTATATTAAATGGTGGTTTGTATTACAATATGTACAAATATACTAGAAACAAAACAGTGGAACAACCTGCCTCCAGAAGCTCTGAATGCTCCAAAACGTGAAGTCTTTAAGAAGACACTGGACAGCCATTGGTCTGAAACGGTATAGGGCAGTGGTTCTCAACCTTTTTAATGCCGCGACCCCCAACCGGTCGTAGGTCGAGGACTACTCAACTAGTCGTAAGTCGAGGACTACTCAACTGGTGCAGCACTGTTTGCAGAATGGGACTTTTGGCAGGCTCAGCAGGGCAGAGACAGCCTGGACAATTCCTATTGGCTTTTGAAAGCCAATAGAATTAGACTCTATTCAAGAGAATAAAAGGGAGTAGCACAGCTAAGGAAAAGGGGGAAAAAATGGACTGCGTTGTTTGGCGACCCCCATGAAATGGTCGTTCGACCCCAAATGGAGTCCCGACCCACAGGTTGAGAACCACTGGTATAGGGTTTCCTGCCTGAGTAGGGGGTTGGACTAGATGACCTCCAAGGTCCCTTCCAACTTTTATTATTATATTATTATTATTATTATTATTATTATTATTATTATTATTATTATTATTATTACACGCGTATGTGATAATTCAGCAAATTCCAATACACAGCAGTTACAGCAGGGAACTGACGAGAGAGAAAGACTCCAGCAAAAAACTTCCCTTTTATGCACAGGCTCTTAAAGGGATACACACACCTGCTGAGTCATTCCTATTATTGCATCATCCACCTTACATTGCCTTACATCATTACATAAGCTGTTTAGCTATTAAATTATTATCCTGACACAATAGAATATGGAATGGAATGTAATAGAATACTTTATTGGCCAATTGGACCCCCTCTTCTTCATGGCAGCCCCTCAATATTGGAACGCTGCTATCATACCATTCCTTATATGTTTTAGCCTCCAGTCCCCTGATCATCTTTGTTGCTCTTCTCTGCACTCTTTCTAGAGTCTCAACATCTTTTTTACATCCTGCTGACCAAAACTGGATGCAGGATTCCAGGTGTGGCCTTACCAAGGCCTTGTAAAGTGGTATTAACGCTTCACGTGATCTTGATTCTATCCCTCCGTTAATGCAGCCTAGCACTGTGTTGGCAGTTTTTTGCCAGTTCGTATTTAATGACATAAATTTTGGGGTCAAGCGTGGCCGTACGTCACGCATATTTCAACCAAGGCGAAGGAGAATTTTGGGTTTTCTCATCCAGGCTTCTGGAGAAAAGAGGCCCGAATGCTTCCTTGTGGCCGGAGCAACCTGTACGACAGGTGTGCGCAAGGAAGATCCTGCCCAGGTTGTGTCATGCTGTGCTTGCATTTGGTTCCCAGAGAGGATCGGGGTATCTATCAAGGCGCCGATGGTCCTTTGCCTCCGTGGCCTGTATGTCGCGCCTGAGACCTTTCGTGGCACCCCTGCCATGCGGGCCCTTTGCAGAGGCACTGGTGTCCTTGCAGATGCCTTGCCGGGAGAGATTCTGACCTGCGCTTTGCTTCTCCTTCCAGCTCTCCCACCCTGCTGCTGAAGAGCCGCTACTGCCTCCGGAAACGCCACGCCACGCGGGGAAAGTCCTCCCCCACCGCCCGCCGAACCGGGACCAAAGGCCTGGTGCAAATCAGCAAGCACAGGTTGCGCCGGCTGCCGGCGTCCCGAGTTCCTGGTTCGCCCAAAGAAGGTAGGAGAGACTTGGAATTGGGAGGGGGTGGGGGGCAGGGGGGAGTTGGACCCGCTGCCCTCGGCTCTGGACAGATGGCCAGGAGAGACTGGCACGGGCCAAGAGGCCACCAATCGTGGTTCTTCTCTTGGGTTGGCTACCCTCGTTCTGATCCGGATGCTGGTTTTTGAGAGGGTCTTTATAGCCAAACAATCGGGTCTGGGGTGCGACTTTTTCCCTCATCCTCTGGAGGTCTGTGGGTGATGTCCTTGAAAAGGCTGGGGGGGCGGCTCCCCATTTGTGGTGTTTTAAGGATGGGGATAGGGGTGGGCTGCCTCCCGCTTCCGAAAAACCGTTGTGGCTTGTATTCAGGATCAAGCTGTCGAAAGTCACCTGATTTTGTTGTTAGTTGTGAAGTCGTGTCCGACCCATCGCGACCCCATGGACAAGGTTCCTCCAGGCCTTCCTGTCCTCCGCCATCTTCTGGAGCCCATTGAAGCTCACGCCTCCTGCTTCAGGGACTCCATCCAGCCCCCTCCTTCTCTGTCGTCCCATTCTTCTCTTGCCCTCCATCTTTCCCAGCATCAGGTTCTTCTCCAGGGAGTCCATCCTTCTCATTAGGTGGCCAAAGGACTTGAGTTTCAACTTCAGGAGCTGGCCTTCTCAAGAGCAGTCGGGGTTGATCTCCTCCAGGACTGACTGGTTGGATCGCCTTGCAGTCCAAGGGACTCGCAGGAGTCTTCTCCAGCACCAGAGTTCAAAGGCCTCCATTCTTTGGCGCTCAGCCTTTCTTATGGTCCAACTTTCACAGCCACACATTGCAACTGGGGAAACCATGGCCTGGACTATACGCACTTTTGTTGGCAGGGTGATGTCTCTGCTTTTTAATAGGCTGTCTAGATTTGCCATAGCTTTCCTCCCCAGGAGCAAGCGTCTTCTAATTTCTTGGCCACAGTCCCCATCTGAGGTGATCTTGGAGCCCAGGAAGATAAAATCTGTCACCTGATTTTAGAGCTGTGCAAATTTGGGGATTGGCCGATTACTAACTGGGGTGTGTGTCATAGATTGCCTGTGGCTTATGGTTTGCCAGCACCCACCTAGGATCTGAGCTTGGCTAGAAGAGTCACCTGGGAGAACGACACTTTGGCTTGGCTGTCTTCTCCTGACCTGCCTTTACCTCGAAGGTGGCCCTGTCCCTTGCTGGAGTTAATAAGAGCAGGTGTAAAATAAAGCTGTAAACTAAAGAGGGAAACTCCCGTGTCGGCTGAGCCTTTGCGCAGAAGGGCCCAGCTCGGCCTCTTTTTGGGGGCATTTGTACTTTTTGAAATATTGACAATGTCAGAAAAGCCGTTTGAAGATCCGGGGGCTGGCGCATCGAAAGACAGAGGTGCCTACAATTGTTCTCTCGGCTCTTTATCTCGTTTTACTCGCCCCACGGGGCAGCTCTGACTATCCTCCTAAGCAGAACTGGGGCGGAGGGGCGGGAAGGAGGCTTCCGTAGGGCTTTTCATCTTGAAATGTGGATTAAAAAAAAAAAAAAGGCTGATATTTAGATTTTTCAGCCTGCCCTGCACACAAAACAGCTCAAAGCGTCATATTTTTGCTTTTCGTCTTGGCATCTTTTACAACTCGCATTTTTGTGCTTGTTCCTGGGGGAAAAAAACACGGTTTGTGTACGTGACCTACATTGATTAGGTGTGACTTGTTCTGGCATGTAAATTTGGTGTTAAGGCAGAGGTTGGTAGGTTTTGTGGTTGTGGCGTCTTGTGACACAGAATTTGATTTCGTAATGGATTTGGGGAGTAGGGTTGGAGAAGTCAAGCTTTCAGTCCAGTCCGTAGGGCAGGGGTCTTCAAACTTGGCCCTTTTATGACTCGCGGACTTCCACTCCCAGAATTCCTCACCCAGGCACTTGCGTGCCGGGCTGAGGGATTCTGGGAGTTGAAGTCCACAAGTCATCAAAGGGTCATAGTTCCCTCACGCTGGCTGAGGGATTCTGGGAGTTGAAGTCCACAAGTCATCAAAGGGTCATAGTTCCCTCACGCTGGCTGAGGGATTCTGGGAGTTGAAGTCCACAAATCATCAAAGGGTCATAGTTCCCTCACACTGGCTGAGGGATTCTGGGAGTTGAAGTCCACAAGTCATCAAAGGGTCATAGTTCCCTCACGCTGGCTGAGGGATTCTGGGAGTTGAACAAGTCATCAAAGGGTCATAGTTCCCTCACGCTGGCTGATTCTGGGAGTTGAAGTCCACAAGTCATCAAAGGGTCATAGTTCCCTCACGCTGGCTGAGGGATTCTGGGAGTTGAAGTCCACAAGTCATCAAAGGGTCATAGTTCCCTCACGCTGGCTGAGGGATTCTGGGAGTTGAAGTCCACAAGTCATCAAAGGGTCATAGTTCCCTCACGCTGGCTGAGGGATTCTGGGAGTTGAAGTCCACAAGTCATCAAAGGGTCATAGTTCCCTCACGCTGGCTGAGGGATTCTGGGAGTTGAAGTCCACAAGTCATCAAAGGGTCATAGTTCCCTCACGCTGGCTGAGGGATTCTGGGAGTTGAAGTCCACAAGTCATCAAAGGGTCATAGTTCCCTCACGCTGGCTGAGGGATTCTGGGAGTTGAAGTCCACAAGTCATCAAAGGGTCATAGTTCCCTCACGCTGGCTGAGGGATTCTGGGAGTTGAAGTCCACAAGTCATCAAAGGGTCATAGTTCCCTCACACTGGCTGAGGGATTCTGGGAGTTGAAGTCCACAAGTCATAAAAGGGTCATAGTTCCCTCACGCTGGCTGAGGGATTCTGGGAGTTGAAGTCCACAAGTCATAAAAGGGTCATCGTTCCCTCACGCTGGCTGAGGAATTTTGGGAGTTGAAGTCCACAAGTCATCAAAGGGTCATAGTTCCCTTTTATAGGGAACTATAAACTATAGTTCCCTGGCTGAGGAATTCTGGGAGTTGAAGTCATAAAAGGGCCAAGTTGGAAGACCCCTGCCATAGGGACCATTTGTTCAGTGACCATTTGAACTTAGAACGGCACTGAAAAAAGGGACTTATTTCCAGTTTTCCCGTGACTGTTGCAGCGTTCCCCACGGCCACGGGATTTACATTCGGATGCTGGGCAACTGAATTGTATTTATGACGGTCGCAGCATCCCTGGGGTCACGTGATCCCTTTTCCTGACCTTCTGACAAGTCCGTGGGAAAGCCGGATTCACTTAACGACCGTGTGCCTAGCTTCCCTACCGCGATGCTTCGCTTAGCAACTGTGGCAAGAAAGGTTGTAAAACGGGGGCCAAAAGTCACTGAACAAACGCCTCGCTTAGCAGTGGAAATTCCGGCCTCAGAATTGTGGTCGTAAGTTGAGGACCTCCTGTGAAAGGTGTAAAAGGGGTGTAAAAGGCTCCAGACTTAACAGACAGGATCCCCTGGGCCGTTTGCAGCTCCGGGGCAGCCGGCGTGCTTTTCGCGGCCGTTATCTGGGACCTGAACACGGGCAGGCTTTGAGATGGTCTCTGGGAAGGCCGACAGGCACACCTGGGCTTCTTTAGAGCCAGGGGAGCCGGCCTTGAGGCCCGGCAGGAAATGGTTCATGCTCGGGCTGTGTGGACTTTTGCTCCGCTTTTAAAATCAACGCCATCACAAACACAAACCCTTGAACCCCGTGTGCCCCCCACAGCAGGCAGGCTGGCCGGCCTCAGTATTCGGGTGTTCAGGGCCAGGTCCTGCAGATAATTCACTCTTTCGTTGCAACGGCTAGCGAGCTGGTAGGTACAGCACGTTCTTGGCCCTGGTCTCCTCTTCCTCTTCCTCTCTTCCTTTTTATCTTCCTTCACCTCCTGCTCTACTACTTTCTCCTCCTCCTCCCTCTTCTTCCTTCTCTTCCTCTTTCCCTTTATCCTCCTCCTCCTTCCTCTTCTTCATTCTCTTCCTTTTTATCTTTATCCTCCTCCTTCCTTCTTCCTCTTCTTCTTTCTCTTCCTCTTTCCCTTTATCCTCCTCCTTCCTTCTTCCTCTTCTTCCTTCTCTTCCTCTTTCCCTTTATCCTCCTCCTTCCTCTTCCTCTTTCCCTTTCTCCTCCTCCTTCCTTCTTCCTCTTTCCCTTTATTCTCCTCCTCCTTCCTTTTCTTCATTCTCTCCCTTTTAATCTTTATCCTCCTCCTCCTTCCTTCTTCCTCTTCTTCCTTCTCTTCCTCTTTCCTTTTATCCTTCTCCTTCCTCTTCCTCTTTCCCTTTATCCTCCTCCTTCCTCTTCCTCTTCCTCTTTCCCTTTATCCTCCTGCTTCCTCCTTCCTCTCCTTCCTTCTCTTCCTCTTTCTTTCCTCCTCCTTCCTCTTTCCCTTTATCCTCCTCCTTCCCTCTTCCTCTCTCTCCTCCTCCTCCTCCTTGCTTCTTCCTCTTTATCCTCCACCTCCTTCCTTCCTCCTCCTCTTCCTTCTTCCTGTCCTTCCTCTTCTTCCTCTTTCCCTTTGTCCTCCTCCTTCCTTCTTCCTGCTCTAACTCCTCTTCCCTCTTCCTCTCCTTCCTCCTCTTCCCCTTTATCCTCCTCCTCCTCCTCCTCCATCATCATCATCATCATCATCATCATGTTGGGGGGCTGCTCCAGAGGCTTGCCATCCCCCCCCCTCCGTTTCAGCCGAGGCTCACGTGACGCCTCCCCCCCTGACCTGTAGAGGGCAGCCTTGCCCCTTCTGTTTCCCCGGCCCACCTTTTCCTGGTAATTGATTGCCTAATTTGCTCTTTATGTGAAAGGAAGCAGATACCGAGTAATTTGCAGCAATAACCCGCTATTGCCGGGCCAGTATCAAAACTCCCATGTTCATTTCAAGTGGCAGATAAAACACTAATATATAATTATCCTTGCAAATTGGATTGTTTTAAATAACCAAAAGACTGTGGCCAGGAGAGCAGCTCTTCCCATTCCCCTTGAGTTAGTAGAGTGGCGTAATTGCTGCGTTCAATCAATTTCCCTGGCATTAGAAATTCCATCACCATCAACATTAAGCTATATTCATTGTGATGGCTAAGAGCC